ACGCCGTAGCGCTGCAGCATGCGGCCTATCACCTGGCGGTTCATGTTGCCACCCACATGGGGGTGAAGGATGGGAGGGAGGGAGGGAGGGAGGGAGGGAGGGAGGGAGGGAGGGAGGGAGGGAGGGAGGGAGGGAGGGAGGGAGGGAGGGAGGGAGGGAGGGAGGGAGGGAGGGAGGGAGGGAGGGAGGGAGGGAGGGAGGGAGGGAGGGAGGGAGGGAAGGGAGGGAGGGAGGGAGGGAGGGAGGGAGGGAGGGAGGGAGGGAGGGAGGGAGGGAGGGAGGGAGGGAGGGAGGGAGGGAGGGAGGGAGGGAGGGAGGGAGGGAGGGAGGGGAGGGAGGGAGGGGAGGGAGGGAGGGAGGGGAGGGAGGGAGGGGAGGGAGGGAGGGGAGGGAGGGGAGGGAGGGAGGGAGGGGAGGAGGGAGGGAGGGAGGGAGGGAGGGAGGGAGGGAGGGAGGGAGGGAGGGAGGGGAGGGAGGGCGAGCTGAGGAGCACATTCACAACACTCGCACCACCGCCTTGGCACCTCCATCCACCTCCTCCACCCTCACCCCATACCGCTGCAGTATGCGTCCTATCACCTGGTGGGGAGGGGGAGGGGGGGGAGGGAGGGAGGGAGGGGAGGGAGGGGAGGGAGAGGAGGGAGGGAGAGCGGGAAGGGAGGGGAGGGAGGGAGGGCGGGAAGGGAGGGGAGGGAGGGAGAGCGGGAAGGGAGGGGAGGGAGGGAGGGCGAGCTGAGGAGCACACTCGGAACACTCTACCGCCTCAATCGGAGAGTAAAAGTGCAAAATGCAGGCGGGCAGCACGGCTTGAGCTTGCATGCAAGCAGAGAATGCAGTTAACCATGTCGTTACTGCATGGCTCAGCACGGCTTGAGCTTGCATGCAAGCAGAGAATGCAGTTAACCATGTCGTTACTGCATGGCTCAGCACGGCTTGAGCTTGCATGCAAGCAGAGAATGCAGTTAACCATGTCGTTACTGCATGGCTCAGCACGGCTTGAGCTTGCATGCAAGCAGAGAATGCAGTTAACCATGTCGTTACTGCATGGCTCAGCACGGCTTGAGCTTGCATGCAAGAAGAGAATGCAGTTAACCATGTCGTTACTGCATGGCTCAGCATGGCTTGAGCTTGCATGCAAGCAGAGAATGCAGTTAACCATGTCGTTACTGCATGGCTCAGCACGGCTTGAGCTTGCATGCAAGCAGAGAATGCAGTTAACCATGTCGTTACTGCATGGCTCAGCACGGCTTGAGCTTGCATGCAAGCAGAGAATGCAGTTAACCATGTCGTTACTGCATGGCTCAGCACGGCTTGAGCTTGCATGCAAGCAGAGAATGCAGTTAACCATGTCGTTACTGCATGGCTCAGCACGGCTTGAGCTTGCATGCAAGCAGAGAATGCAGTTAACCATGTCGTTACTGCATGGCTCAGCACGGCTTGAGCTTGCGGCTGACGATACTGTCGTCTACCACGAGCACGCACTGTGCCTCGATTCAATCTCTCACCACAAAGGGTGCCTAGAGAATTGCAGCATACAGCCAATGGTTGTTACCATGCGGTTGACCATGTTGTCATCCACCACTAGCACGCGCCGTCTATTGAGGCATGTCAAATATTTAATCACAAGGTGTCTAGGCTCTAGAGGAAATACTGCCTTACACACTCAATTACCTTGCGGTTGACCATGTTGTCGTCTACCACCAGCACGCGCCGCCCGCTTAAAGCCTGTGTCAGCTGCTGCGCACTGCTGCTGCTCGGCCTGCGCACCGCCACAGGGGACGGACTACCTGCTCCTCCTGCCGCTGCTGCCAGTCCTGTCACTGCCGCTGCTGCCACCCCCGCCGTCACTGCTGCTGCTCCTGCTGCTACCGGTGATGGAGTGCGCGGGCTCAGTTGACTGTGTTGACCGAGTTGACTCCAGGGGTTTCGTCTGCCAGCCTGTGCCATCCGCACCGTCTCTGCTGCTGCTCCTGCTGCTGCCGGCGAGGCAGTGCGAGGGCTCAGTTGACTTTGTTGACTGAGTTGACTCCAGGGGTTCTGTTGGCCAGCCTGTGCCATTATCCCCCTGCTTCTCGTCCCGCCCCCGCTGTTGCTTCTGACTGGTGCATCGTCCACAAGGGCCCGCCTCACAACGTCGAAACTGAACCGCTTCCCCCCTGCCTCCCTGCGTAGGCTCACACTCCCCCTGTTCCCACTCACACCCCCCCTGCTCCCACACGCACTCCCCTTGTTCCCACACGCATCCCCCCCATCCCTGCCCCGACATGCCGGACTCCTGTCGTGCTTACTCTCCCCATCCTTCTTCTGGGGGAACGCAGCGTTCCCCCCAGTGGCCTCCCTTCCCCCAGTGGCCTCCCTTCCCCCAGTGGCCTCCCTTCCCCCAGTGGCCTCCCTTCCCCCAGTGGCCTCCCTTCCCCCAGTGGCCTCCCTTCCCCCAGAAACCTCCCCTCCCCCCACGGGGGTAAGGCTCTCCCCCAACTGCGGGCTCCCCCACTCCTTCCCCAGGCTGCCGCCCGGGAAGTCCAGAAAGCCTCCCCAGCTCGCCGCCCGCCCGTGGTGGCTGGGCGGCAGAACGTTGGAGGAGAGCGATGAGATGGAAGCAGGGAATGCTTCAGAGGAGTTTACGGCTCCGCCCTGCTGCTGCCCCTGCTGCTGCTGCCCCTGCCCCTGCCCCTGCCCCTGCCCCTGCCCCTGCCCCTGCCCCTGCCCTTGCCCTTGCCCCTGCCGCTGTTGGTGATGCCGCAGCATTGGCTACTGCTCGTGCTGGGGGTAGGAGTCTAGAGGAGGAGTCAGAGGCGGGGGATACGAGTGAAGAAGAAAGAGATACTAGTGGGGGCGACACTAGGCTCGGTGATACTAGAGGGGGTGATGCTAGGTTCGGTGATACTAGAGGGGGTGATGCTAGGTTCGGTGATACTAGCGGGGGCGACTCTAGTGTAGGTGATACCAGAGAGGACGCCACTAAAGGGGGAGCTTGGCAGAAAGGAGAGACAACACGAGCAACCTCACCAGCAGCAGCAGCACCAGCAGCAGCAGCAGCAGCACCAGCAGCAGCAGCAGCACCAGCAGCAGCAGCAGCACCAGCAGCAGCAGCAGCACCAGCAGCAGCAGCAGCACCAGCAGCAGCAGCACCAGCAGCAGCAGCACCAGTAGCAACCGCACCAGCAGCAGCAGCACCAGTAGCAACCGCACCAGCAGCAGTGGCAGAATCAGGGCCAGCCAGCTGCTGCGGTGGCTGCGATGTTGGCGGCACACCGTCCCCATCCTCATCCTCACAGAGAGCTCCCTCACCCACACTGGCCACTCTCATTGTTGCCAGGGTCATTGTTGCCAGTCCCCTCCGCCCCCTCAACCCGGCGCCATCCCCATTCGTGCCAGCAATAGCAGCGGCAACAGCAGCGGCAGCGGTGGCAGAATCAGGGAGAGCCTCACAACCCCCACCGTTGCCGCTCCTGTCATCACATAAAGCTCCCATCGTTGCCAGTCTTCTCCGGCCCCTCAACCCCTCTCCATCCGCATTCGTGCCCACCCCTATCCCCTCACTCTCCTGCTCCTCCAACAAATCCCCCCACTCGCTCACACTCTCTCCCTCACTCCCACTCTCTCCCTCTCTCAAACCATCCCAATGGCTATTTTCCTCCACACACACTCCTTCAACCCCTTCCTTCAAGTCCCTGCCCATGTCCCCTCCACTCTCCCCTCCTCTCTCCCCTCCCAACCTCCTTCCTCCATTATCCCATCCTGCTCCTCCCCACCCCCTTTCCTATCCCCCTCCTCTTCCCCCTCCTCCTCCCCTTCCCCCTGCCCGCTCCCCCCAGAAGAATCTCCCCCAGACAGCTGGCAAGGGCGCTCATGCGGACAGGCTTGGAAAGGCAGGCTCGGAACCCAGCCTCACTTGCAGCCTCGGCAAAGGCTGTGTCGTGGTGGGACGATACGAGCACTGCGGCACTCCAGGGAGGGGAGCTGGCACTGTAGGTTCTGTAGTTACTGTAGCTATTGCTGTATAAATTACTGTATAAATGGCTGTTTTGGCATCTGTGGCAGCTGCAGTTGCCACTGCAGTTGCAATCGCAATTCCTACTTTGCAAATCTTCAGCCTCCGAAGCAGCTGAAGCAGCAACAGCAGCAGCAGCAGCAGCGGCAGCAGCAGCAGCAGAGGCAGCAGCAGCAGCAGGTGGGGCAGCATCTGGGGCAGAGGCAGCAGCGGCAGCAGCAGTGAGGGAGTCAAGGGAGGGAGAGTGGAGCATCCAATCAGCCATGGAGATCGTTGCATGCAGCCGCCGCACCCCCTCTGTCACCGCGCACCCATGCCCCCACCTGCCCCTTGAGCCGCACACCCATGCTCCCCATCAGCAGGTGCAATCACATCAGCGCTGCCACCAGCAGCAGCGGCCATGTCACCACTTCCACCAGCAGCAGCGGCCATGTCACCACTGCCACCAGCAGCAGCGGCCATGTCACCACTTCCACCAGCAGCAGCGGCCATGTCACCACTTCCACCAGCAGCAGCGGCCATGTCACCACTTCCACCAGCAGCAGCGGCCATGTCACCACTGCCACCAGCAGCAGCGGCCATGTCACCACTTCCACCAGCAGCAGTGGCCATGTCACCACTGCCACCAGCAGCAGCGGCCATGTCACCACCGCCACCAGCAGCAGAAGCTGCAGCTATGGTGGTATCGGGTGGTGGGGCAAGAGAGGAACCAGGGCGACTGTCTGTCGCTGTTCCTTCCCTCACCATCCCTGTGCCTGCCCTCACCATCCCTGCTGCTACCATCATCTCCCATGCCCTGCCTTGCCACGTCAACATGCTTGGAAGATCATGCCCCTCTGCTTGCTCCTCCTCCTCCCCCTCCTCCCCCTCCTCCTTCTCCACCTCCCCACCCTTCAACTCTTGCTTTTGTCTTTCCTCCTCCTCTACCCCGTCCTCCTCACTCTCCTCCCCATCCTCCTCACCCGCCTCACGCTCTTGCTCCTCCTGCTGCTGCCTCTCAAGCCACTCATAATCCACAAACACCACCACCGGCTGCTGCATGGGCGGCTGCTGCAAAGGCTGCTGCAAATGCTGTTGTAAAGGCTGAGCCTGCTGCAAAGGCTGTTGCAAAGGCTGTTGTAAAGGCTGAGCCTGCTGCAAAGGCTGTTGTAAAGGCTGTCGTAAAGGCTGAGCCTGCTGCAAAGGCGCCTCACCAGGAGGAGAACTGGTGCCGAACGTAGAGTTGAGCACCGGCACGCCGAGCCTGTTGAGCAGGCTCTCCAGCACGCCGAGCCTCACCGGCCGGTCATCCAGTAGAATCGCACCCAGCCTGGCCCGAACCAGAGCGCCTTTGATCGCTCCCAGGCTTGCAGCTCCGTCCCTTTCTTCCAAACCAAAAGGAGAAAGGAAGGAACTACTAATAGGCCCAGTGTCAGCATCAGCGGGAGCATCATCAGCAGCAGGAGCACCAGCAGGAGCAACACCACCCGCCACCCCAGCCACAGACCCATTACCACTTCTGGAAACCTTTCCCAAAGCGGAAACCAGGTCCGGTTGCAGGTACGGCACAAGCTCGGGCCGAGGCTGGTCGCAGGGCAGGAGGAGGTCAAAGTAAAACGTGCTGCCGAGGCCAGGGTGCGAGGAGAAGGAGAGGCGGCCGCCCATGAGGTCCACGAGGTGGCGAGAGATGGAGAGGCCAATGCCCGTGCCGCCGTGCGTGCGGGTCGTGCTGGGGTCCGCTTGAGTGAATGGCTTCAGGATGGTGCGCTGGGCTGCATAGGGGATCCCCTCGCCTGTGTCCTGGGGTGGTGGGTGGGGGAAGACAGAAAAGGGGTTAGAGGGTATGAACACGAGGGGAGGAAAAGGGAATTGGAATGGGAAGAGGCACCATGTTCGTGCGTGTCTGCCTGTGTGAAGGGCTCAATGATGCTGCTTTTGAGTCGCCTCAAAAGCAGAATGGGAAGAGTTCGTGCGCGTCTGCCTGTGTGAAGGGCTTATTGATGGGGCGCTGGGCTTTGCAGGGAATGCCGTCGCCTTTGTCATGTGGTGGTGGGAGGTAGCAGGAGCGTGAGGTATGGAAACGAGAGGAGGAAACAGGGCAGTGGAATGAGAAGAGGCAGGGTGTGTGGTGTGCTAGGCTTAAAAAAATGCCGCCCACCTCAACACACATGCACCCACCTCAACACACATGCACCCACCTCAACACACATGCACCCACCTCAACACACATGCACCCACCTCAACACACATGCACCCACCTCAATACACATGCACCCACCTCAACACACATGCACCCACCTCAACACACATGCACCCACCTCAACACACATGCACCCACCTCAACACACATGCACCCACCTCAACACGCATGCACCCACCTCAACACGCATGCACCCACCTCAACACGCATGCACCCACCTCAACACACATGCACCCACCTCAACACGCATGCACCCACCTCAACACGCATGCACCCATCTCAACACACACGCACCCATCTCAACACACACACACCCACCTCAACACGCATGCACCCACCTCAACACGCATGCACCCATCTCAACACACACGCACCCATCTCAACACACACACACCCACCTCAACACACACACACCCACCTCAACGGAAACCACCAATCGAACGGTTTGAGGCCTGTCGTCTGCTGCTGCCCCACTTCTTGCTGCCGTTGCTCCTCCTGTCACCAACTGCCGCCTCTCCCACTCACAATCCACCTCCACGCACCCTTCCTTGCCTCCCTCCCCATCTCCCTCACACCCATCTCCCTCCTCACCCCTCTCGCCCCTCTCACCCCAGTTTCCCCCTTCTCCCCCTCGCAGCAGAGCCTGCTGCTGCCGCCCCTGCTGCAGCCATGCCGCCCGCCGCGCAGCCAGCACGTGCCAGTTGTTGCAGCTCCTCTCTGCCGCCCGCCCACTCAGCGTCACGTGCGCCAGCTGCTGCTGCTGCTGCTGCTGCTGCTGCTGCTCGTGGTACTGCTGCTTACTGCTGTTTGTGGGAGCAGTGGCAGCGGCAGCAGCAGCAGCAGCAGGATGGCTGCTGCTGGGATGCACTACCACCTCCAACAGCTCCTGCTCCTCGCCTTGCCTTTGCCCTCCTGCCACCCCTCTATCCCCTGCCAATCCTTGCCTTTGCGCCTCAGTCAGCAGCAGTAGCCCTTCCTCCCCCACCTCCTGGCTCTCCATCTCCTCCTCCTTCTCCTCTTGCTCGTCTTCCAGCTGTTGATACGCCAGCAACCGCTGCTCGCCCACGCACGCACCCAGGGGCAGCCCGCACGCAGCGCTCATGCTCATGCTGCTGCGCCAAGGGCTGCTGGCGGCATCACCGCCACCGTCCACTGAAGCAGTGACCGCAGCAGCACCTACCCCAGCAGCACCTACACCAGCAGAAGCACCCTCTACAGCACCCCCCGCAGCAGCAGCAGCAGCAGCAGCAGCAGCAGCAGCGCGGGTCCTGCCACTCTTGGTGCGAGAGAGAAGCCTGGCAGGGCGGAAGGAGACAGTCGTGGAGGTGGTGGTGGTGGCGGTGGTGGTAGTGGTAGTGGTCATGGGCATGGGCATGGGCATGGGCATGGCACTGGCAATGCCAGACCCGGGGTAACATGCACCGGCTGCCTCACCATCTCCCTGCAGGCCACTCACCCGGCCTACCTGCTGCTCTCCCTCCCCCCTTTCCACTGAACCATCACCACCACCCTCACCACTATCTGTACAGCCATGGCCATCCCGCTTAACCCCACCACCGGTGCTGCTCGAGCCAGTAAAGAGGTCCCGTAGCCTCAACAGCCCGCTCTTGACCGCCCTGTCACTTGCTCCTTGTGTCGACCCATGGGTGGGCACTGCAGTTTGCCCAAACAGCCTGCCCAAAATGTCGAGAGTTGGCCGCCCAGTGCCAGTGGTCGTGTGTGTGCCGTGAGTGGTGTGTGAGTGCGATGCAGTGAGGCTGTTGACTGTGGTGGAGGCATCTCCGAAAGAGGACTGTGCTGCCAGGTGACTATGCTGTTCCTGCTGCTGTTCTTGCTGCCTATGAGGTGACTTTTGAGTCGACTCAAAAGTCACCAGGTGACTGTGCTCTTCCTGCTGCTGCTCTTGCTGCGTATGCTGTGGTTGTTGTGCCTCCGCCTCTTGATGCTCTTGTTCTTGCTGCTCCTGCTCCTGCTGCTGCTCCTGCTGCTGCTGCTGCCGCTGATTTTCTCGCTTTGACTGGGTTCGGGACGCGTCCCTCCGAAGGTCCTCGTGAATGTCGGCTGTGCGGATGGCGATGAAGATGTGTCCACGTTCGGTGTACTTGCACGCGTTGGACAGCAGGTTGATCAGCACCTGGTGTGGGGGAGGGGGGAGGCGGATCGAAGGGAGGACGGAGATGAAGACATGTCCACGTTCGGTGTACTTGCACGCGTTGGACAGCAGGTTGATCAGCACCCGGTGGGGACAAGGGCGATGAAGGGGTGGGGGAGGAGAGGAGGTGATGAAGATGTGTCCACGTTCAGTACACGCGCAGTTTGTTAGAAAAGCCACCTGGAAGGAGCACCGGCGCCGAGCCTGCTGTGCCGCACCGAGCCTGCACCCCCAGGCTGTGCTGCACCTGCCAGAACCACCTGAACGCCCACCTGCCAGAACCACCTGCCAGAACCACCTGAACGCCCACCTGCCAGAACCACCTGCCAGAACCACCTGAATGCCCACCTGCCAGAACCACCTGAACGCCCACCTAGCAGAACCACCTGCCAGAACCACCTGGCAGAAGCAACTGACCTGGCGGAAGCGCAGCGAGTCGCCGAGCACGGATGCCGGCACAAGGGGGTCGACGTATGCTGCCACCTCCAGGTGTGGCTTGTCTCGGAAGCGCTCGATGAACATGGTGAGGCGTAGCGTGCAGGTGCGGCATGGTGGTGCTGCAAGGGGGAACACAACACACCCAGACCAGACCTAGCCGGGCCACTCACCTGGCGGAAGCGCAGCGAGTCGCCGAGCACAGATGCCGGCACGAGCGGGTCGATGTAGGCCGCCACCTCCAGGTGAGGCTTGTCTCGGAAGCGCTCGATGAACATGGTGAGAACCGTGTCCACCTCTCCGCGCACGTCCATTGGCACGTGCTCCAGCTGCATCTTTTGAGCCTGGGAAAAGGAGGGGGTGAAGGGTTGAGGCAAGGATAGCGCTCGATGAACATGGTGAGAACCGTGTCCACCTCTCCCCTCATGTCCATTGGTACGTGCTCTAGCTGCATCTTCTGCGCCTGGTGCGTTTGGAAGGAGTAGGGTGGGAGAGGATGGAGTGGAAGGTTGGGGTAAGGGGAAGCGCTCGATGAACATGGTGAGTACCGTGTCCACCTCTCCCCTCACGTCCATGGGCACATGCTCCAATTGCATCTTCTGCGCCTGGTGGGAGTGGGGACTCGGGAGCAAGGTCAGAAGGGGGGAGGAAAGGAAGTACGGAAAGGAGAGATGAGCAACATGGGGAGCAGCACCGTGTCCACCTCGCCCCGCACGCCCATTGGTGCATGCTGTAACTGCATATTCTGCGCCTGGTGGGAGTGGGTGGGTGATGTGCTCAGCGTCCTAGCACTCTATTCCACCTCTCTCCACCTCTCTCCACCTCTCCTGTCAGCAGCGTCGTGAGCAGCGCACCTCGATCTTGGAGAGGTCGAGGATGTCTGTGATGAGTTCCAGCAGCGCCCGCGCACCAGTGCGCACACTCCTATCCCACCTTTCTCCACCTCTCTTCACCTCTCTCCACCTTCAGCAACTCACCTCGATCTTGGACAGGTCGAGAATATCGGTGATCAGTTCCAGCAGCGCCCGTCCGCTGGTGCGAGCCGTGTCCACGTAGTCAAGTTGAGTCACCGTGAGAGGGGTCTCCAGGAGCAGGTTCAGCATGCCTGGGGGTGGGATGGGGCAGGGGAGCACGCATGAGCACATCAAAGCATGAGTGGCTGGTGCGAGCCGTGTCCACGTAGTCAAGTTGAGTCACCGTGAGTGGCGTTTCCAGCAGCAGGTTCAGCATGCCTGGGAATGTGAGGGTGTGGGGTGCGGGAGTGCGGTGTGGGGGTGTGGGGTGCGGTGGGGCCAGGTGGGAGCACGAATGAGGACGAGGCTGGTGCGAGCCGTGTCCACGTAGTCCAGCTGGGTCACCATGAGGGGCGTTTCCAGCAGCAGGTTCAGCATGCCTGGGGGTGGGGCGGGGGGGGTATGGGGCAAAGTATGCACGAGCACATGAGCGCCCGCCCGCTGGTGCGAGCCGTGTCCACATAGTCAAATTGCGTCACTGTGAGAGGCGTTTCCAGCAGCAGCAGGTTTAACATGCCAGGGGGTGTTGGTGGGGTGGGAGTATGGGGGGGAAAGCATGCATGATGAGAGCCCGTCCGTCCGTGCGAGCCATGTCCACGTAGTCAAGTTGAGTCACTCTGAGGGGGGTTTCCAGCAGCAGGTTCAGCATGCCTGGGAGTGTGAGGGTGTGGGGTGCGGTGGGGCCAGGTGGGAGCACGAATGAGCACGACGCTGGTGCGAGCCGTCTGTGTTCCCATAGCCTAGTTGGGGTCACGGTGGGTGGCGGAGTGCCGCTGTGCAGGGGCAAATGCATGCACGCACTAACACATGTGCCTGGCTCAACTCAACGGCCGTGCAGTGCACCATACAGCCACAGCAGCCCCAGTAGCCCCAGCAGGCTAGCAGCACCGCACAGCACCCATCCATAACTCCATTGAGAGATGTGCGCAGCTCGTGGCTCGTAGTGGGGAGAAACGGCCCTTTGGCTGTACTCGCCCTCTCCATCACGGCAGAAACCACACTGCACCACACTGCACCACACTGCACCACACTGCACCACACTGCACCACGCTGCACCCACCCACCTATGACGCCATTCAGCGGCGTGCGAAGCTCATGGCTCATAGCGGTGAGGAACAGCCCCTTGGCCTTACTCGCCCGCTCCACCACCACTCACCAGCACCAGTACCACACAGCGCCGAACAGCCCCACACAGCACCACACAGCACCACATAGACTTGCACAGCACCACACCGCACCACACAGAACCACACAACACCCACCTATGACGCCATTGAGCGGCGTGCGCAGCTCATGGCTCATCGTCGTGAGAAACAGCCCCTTGGCTTTACTCGCCCGCTCCGCAACCCTCTTGGCCGCTTTCATGCGGTTCTTCACCGCTTCCAACCGCTGGTAATCCCTCTCCAGCTGCTGCACGCGCTCACACGCCGCCCAGTACACGTACGCTGCGAGGCCCATCATCACTATAACGAGGATAGCCCACCCTGCACTCGCTGCCGGGAATACATAGGTCGTGTAGTACCTGTGGGGGGGATAGGGGTGTCGAGGGGGTTGGAGGGGGTTTGAGAGCGGTGAAAAGGGGTTGAGACCCATCACCACTATAACGAGGATAGCCCACCCTGCACTCGCCGCTGGGAATACATAGGTTGTGTAGTATCTGGGGATGGGGGGTTGAGAGGGGTTGAGGGGGGTTTAAGGTGGGGTGAGAGGGTTGAGAGGGGTGAGAGGGCGAGGGCAAGGGGATGGGAAGGGGAATCCGGGGACGGGAGAGGGAGAATGAATCCTGGCACCCCAAAAAGTGCTTTGTTTTCCCTTGAACACCTGCACCGCACCGCACCCACCTGCACCGCATTGCACCCATCTGCACCGCATCGCACCCACCTGCACCGCATCTCGTACTCGCGGTACTTGTCCCCCAGGTTCACCACGTTCACATGCGCGTACGAGTCCTCCTGTCCGGCCGGCAACTCTTGTCCTCTAGGCTCGTATACCACCTCCCCCGCCCGCTTCCCCTTCTCCCCGCTGCTCCCCGTGACGTCATAAATGCGTGCAAACATGGGCAGGGCCAAGCCGTGGTACTCCTGTGCGGGAGAAAAGAAAAGCAAGACGAGAGTTTTAAAGTCTGCGGAGAGAAAGACTCTTCAGTAGAGGTAACCGCAAACATGGGCAGGGCCAAGCCGTGGTATTCCTGTGGTGGGGGTGGGCGTGGTCCGGGAAGCAGGTTCAACGGGTGGGTGTAAATGGCATCAAACTTGCGTGCAAACATGGTCAGGGCCAAGCCGTGGTACTCCTGAGATGGGAGCAAAGCAAGAGGAGAGTTGTAGAGTGTGCAGAGAGAGAGACTCTTGAGTAGAGGTAACCGCAAACATGGGCAGGGCCAAGCCGTGGTACTCCTGGGATGGGGATGGTTGGGGAAGCAGAATCAAAGGGTGGGTGTAAATGACGGCGTGAATGTGTGCTCCCAGTGACGTCGTAAATGCGAGCAAACATGGGCAGCGCCAAGCCGTGGTATTCCTGAGGTGGGAGTAAAGCAAGAGGAGAGTTGTACAGTGCACAAGCAAGGGTGCCCCCCACACCACACCAAGCAAGAGGAGAGTTGTACAGTGTGCAGAGAGAAAGACTCTTCAGTAGAGGTAACCGCAAACATGGGCAGGGCCAAGCCGTGGTACTCCTGAGGTGGGAGTAAAGCAAGAGGAGAGTTGTAAAGTGTGAGGAGAGAAAGACTCTTAAAGTAAGAGGTAACCGCAAACAGACTCTCAGTCGACTCAAAACAAACACAGGCAGGGCCAAGCGGTGGGGTTGATTGGGGAGGGAGCGACGTGCGAGGAGAAAGTCTCGTGGTGTGACCCGATCCGATCCTGCGACAAGGATAAAGGCCCTCCCCCCATCCTCCCCCCTTTCTCCCCGGCTACCACCGCTCACCTACGGCATAACATCCCACATGGGTTCAAATCAAAGTCCATGATCGCGTTCATGTAGCCCAGGCAACCACTCGCACCCCCCACCACCCAGCACCACCCACCACTCAGCACCCCTCACCACCCCTTACCTCCTCCAGCATTACACCCCACATGGGTTCAAATCAAAGCCCATGATCGCCGTAGTAGCCCACGCACGCCACCTGCAAGCAAGCAACCCCAATCCCCCATCCCCCCCACCCCACACTGTCATGTAGCCCAGGAAAGGCAACCCCCCTGCAGGCTGCAAGGGGCGTGCAGCCTTGGAGCCGCCAAGGGGCTGTAGGGGGTACTGGGAGGAGCTGTCAAAAGAGGACAGGTGGGCGGTGGAGGCCTTTCTTCCATCAACTCGTGCTGTAGGGGGTACTGAGTAGCAAACCCCACTTTTCCCACCTCCAAGCACCCCCCCCCCCCCCCCCTCCCCACCCAACATCCTCCCCCCACCGCCCCCACCACCCCCACCCACCACGACCCCTGCAGGCTGCACCCTCCACTTTTTCCCACCTTTAAGCACCCCTAAGCAAGCAGCACCACCCCCCAGCACCCCTCCCCACCGCTCACCGCGAGCATGGCGTCCCACATGGGTTCAAAGTCCAGGATCGCCGTCATGTAGCCGAGGCACGCCGCCCGGTACTCGCTAGAGGACGAACCCTCCGGGAGCGGGTCGGGGGTGCGGTAAACGGGGAAGACTATAAAGAGGCCGTGCGAGATGGGGCGGTTGGTGGTGGGGAGGGAGAGGTTCAGGCGGAAGGGCGGTGCCAGTGCCCCCATCACCCCATCGTCCCGCGCTCGTGTCACCGCCTCTATTGTTGATGGGCGGTCGTCTGGGTGTGGGGAAGGGTGTGTGGAAAGGGGTGGGGAAAATGGGGAGAGAAAGGGGAGATGGCTCAAGTAGTGGTGGGGAGAGAGAGGTTGAGCCGAAGGGGGGTGCGAGTGCCAACATCACTCCGTCGTCCCGCGCTCGTGTCACCGCCTCTATTGTTGACGGCCAGTCGTCTGGTGGGCGGGGAGGGGAGGGTGTGTGAGGAGGCGGAAGTAGGGAAGGCGGGAGGGAGAAGGGTGGTGGAGGGAAGGGCGGCGCCAGTGCCCTGCCCCCATTACCCCCAAATCTCGCGCTCGTGTCACCGCCTCTATTGTTGATGGCCAGTCGTCTGAACGGGGGGAAGGGAAAGGGGTGGGGGACGGAAAAGAGTGCGGGCAGAGGGGAGAAGGAAGACTTTCAAGAGGCCGTGCGAGATGGGGCGGTTGGTGGTGGGGAGCGAGAGGTTCAGGCGGAAGGAGGAGGGGCGTGAGTGCCCCCATTACCCCATTGTCCCCATTAGAGCGCTGATGAAGGCCACTGGCCTTCATCAGCGATTAGGACCGTTGGATCCAAGTCGAATCTATTTCTTTATGCTGGAAGGAGGAGGGGCGTGAGTGCCCCCATTACCCCATTGTCCCCTAGTCCCGTACTTGAGTCACTCACCACCAACCCTCCCCCCCTCGCACTCACCACAACCCTCCCCCCCCCCCCCCCCCCCCCCCCGCACTCACTCACCCCATGCCAGAAACTCCTGCAGCGCCAGCTGGTCAACGGGGTCAACAGCAGTCAACCGCTGGTCAACGGCTGGTCAAGGGGGTAGGAACGACCCACACTCACCCTCCCTCCCTCCCCACTCCCCCCCCCCCGCACTCACCCCACGCCAGGAACTCCTGCAGCGCCAGCTGGTCAACGGGGTCAACGGCGGTCAACTCCTGGTCAAGGGGGTAGGAGTGGCCCATGAGGCCTTGACCAATCATGTTGGCCGATGCGCTGGTGAGCACGATGGGGGCGTATTCCGGCTGGCTGCCCGCACACACACTGCCGTGCCTGAAGGGATTGGGAGGGCAGAGATGGGATGGGATGCGCTGGTGAGGTGGACTCGGGCTGGCTCCCCGCACACACACTGCCGTGCCTGTGGGAATGACAGGTAGAGGGGAAGGGGGGGGGAAGGGGTTGCGAAGGCGGGAGAGAGATGGGATGCACTCGTGAGCACGATGGGGGCGTACTCGGGCTGACTCCCCGCACACACACTGCCGTGCCTGAGGGCGGATGGGGGGAATGGTGGCGGGACACGTGGGGGAGTGTGGGCAGGATGCGTGCGCTCGTGAGCACAATGGGGGCATTTTCGGGCTCGCTGCCGGCGCACAAGCTGCTGTGCCTGTGATTGGGGGAGGTGGGTGGGGGGGAAGCGAGGGGAGTAGGAGGCCGGGGGATAGGGGTGGGGCAGAGAAGGGATGAGCTGGTGAGCACGATGGGGGCGTGCTCCTGCTGGCTGCCCGCACACACACTGCCGCGCCTGAGGGGATGAGAGGGAGGGGGGAAGGAGGGACAGGGGGCCAGTGAGTGGGAGGGCGGAGGATTGGGCGGGGATTGGAAAAGGTAGAGATGGGATGCGCTTGTGAGGACGATGGACGCGGATTTGCGCTGGCTACCCGGCCAAATATGCTGTGATCCGCGGATTCATCCCACACACACTGCCGTGCCTGAGGGGATGAAAGGGAGGGGGGAGCAGGGGGGAGTGGGAGGGCGGAGGGTGAAGGGATTGGGGGGGTGGTGGGGGATATATGAAGGTGGAAGGATGGAAGGATGGGAGCAGAGATCGGATGGGATGAGCTGGTGGGGATGATGGGGTTATATCCCGGTTCATCCCATCATCCCCACCAGCTCATCCCATCCCATCCCGGTAGGTGTATTCCGGTTTCCGGTTGGCTCCCCTTATTAAGCCATCTCAACTATCGTACATACCTGATGCAGTAATAAGGGTCCCCGAGCAGCTGCTGCTGCTGCTGCCTCTTAAGTCTTAACTATCACACACACATACCTGATGCAGTAATAAGGGTTCCCCAGCAGCTGCTGCTGCTGCCACTGCTGCTGCCGCCGCGTTAAGCCATCTCAAGAATGGTACGCACCTGATGCAGTAATAAGGGTCCCCCAGCAGCTGCTGCTGCTGCCTCTTAACTATCACACACACACGTACCTGATGCAGTAATAAGGGTCCCCCAGCTGCTGCTGCTGCTGTTTCTCAAACGCCGGCCGCTCAGCCTCAGTCACCCGCAGGGCAAAGGACACGGCAAACACCAGCGGGCGGGCGTAGTCCGTCTTATCCACCAGCGCGGAGAATGTGTGCTGGTTGGATGGAAGTGATGGGGAGGAGAGGGGGTGTGGAAGGGGTGGGAAGAAGTGGGAGGTTGAGAAGTGAAGGAGGAGACAGCAAACACCAGCGGGCGGGCGTAGTCCGTCTTATTCACGAGCGCGGAGAACGTGGGCTGGTTGAAGGGAATGGAAATGATGGGTGGGGTGAGGGGGAGGGGTCATGGAGGGGGGTGGAAAGAAACGGAGTGGGACGGTGGAGGGAAGGCAGATGAGTTTTCAACACCACCAGCGGGCGGGCGTAGTCCGTCTTATTCACGAGCGTGGAGATGGTGGGCTGCTTGAAGGGAATGGAAATGTTGGGGAAGGAGGGGGGGCATAGCGGGAGGGTGCGGGGGGGAAGGGGTGGAAGGAAGTGGGAAGGTTGAGAAGGGAATGACATGGTGAAAGGTGGTGATTGGATGAAAAGGCGGCGGAGGTTTGTGGGAGGGTGGGGGAAAGCGGAAAGGGGGAAGGAGAAACATGGAAGGTGTCAGAATCCCAACCACTAACCACTGGGATAAAAGGGCTTATTTGTGTAGCGGGTGAGTGCGCCCATAACCCCCCAGGCCAACGTGCCTGTAACCCTTCCCTAGGATCAATCGGGGATCACCAGTGGACCTCTGACACCCCCCCGCACTGGGATGCCCGAAGTGCACACACCGGGATTCGAACCCGAGACCTTCGCTCTGATACCATGTGAGAATCCCATAGTTGGGATGAGGAGTGAACTCAAGAGTTGATGTCATTGGGAAAAACGAGGGTACATATAGGAGAGAAACGTGAGGGTGACTTGGAGGGGTACCCAAAGCATTATTGGTGGACCAATAAGAGTGGTCACCAACTTTGGGCTGACCTTCAATTATTGGAGGGACCAATAATGGTTGGGATGAACCAACCAAGTGCGGTCGAGTGGGTTTGGGGTGTACCCAACCAAACCTGGTCCAAAGTGTACACCCACATTGGGTGTAACACTAGCACCAATATAAACTGACATATGCTATATTCTAACAGAAGGTGGAGTGGAGAAACGGGAAGGAAAAAGGGGCAAGATTGTTTAGACCGCAAAATAGAGCAATTCAATTCAACCACCAGCGAGCAAAGCAAGGCGGCTGACCTGGCAGGCGGCTGACCTGGCGCCAGCGGGCGGCTAACCTGATCGAGAGTGGCGTTTGGCTTTTGGAAGAAGAAGGTGGAGACGACCGCTCCCAGCAGCCGCACCTGACGGGGTGATGGGATGTTCAGTGCGGTGCGGTGGGATGGGATGAGATGGGATGGGACGCATGGTGGTGACACACCGAGGAGGAGAGGAACATCAGCACGTGGGAACAAACAAGCACATGTGCAGCAGCGACGCCCACTTGTCCCTTCACCTCGTCCCTTTCACCCCCCACACCTCCCTCCCCCCCTCAAAGCTCACCTGGTCAGCAGCCTGACTGAAGTGGCTCTCCAGCAGCGACGTCCACTTGTTGCACTCCTGCTCAATCCTTCCCACCCTCCCACCTGATCAGCAGCCTCCCTCCCCCATCCTTCCTCCCATCCTCCCCACACCTCCCTCCCCCCCTCAAAGCTCACCTGGTCGGCAGCCTGGCTGAAGTGGCTCTCCAGCAGCGACGTCCACTTGTTGCACTCCTGCTCAATCTCAGCCTGCCGCGCCGCCTGAAACCCCTGGTACGTCACCCAGAAAACGACAAACGCCACCGCCAGGGTCACAGCCGCCCACATGAGCAGACACATGAAGCGCGCCAAGTGGGTCAGCTGGAGGCACTTCTCCACGCTGCACTTGCTCAGAAGCTTCCAGAGCAACCCCAGGTCCCTCCCTTCTTCTTCCTCCTCATCTGCGTTTCTCCTTCTCCTCCCCCCTCTGCCCTTGCTACCAAACGATCCCTGTTTCTGTCGCTTCTTGTTCAGGAAGCCCGCTGGTTTTGTCAAAGCACCCCCGTTTCTATCACACCCCGCTCCCCCTATCATCACCTCGACTTCCCCCCCTGGAACTTCCGCGTCGCCAGCTTCTCCCCCTCGGCTCCCCCAAAAACCTTTTCTGCTCCAAGAAGCCCAAGAGGGGTAATTACCCTGAAATAACGTATTTTTGCTGTTCTTCGAACCAAAATTTCCAAACCGCCACCACTTGGCGCAGTTTTCCCCCCCCTCCCCCTCATCCGCCGACATCCAGTCAATATCCTCCCACATCGCATCCTCATCGTCCGTCCCCTCGCTATAATCACTTGTGCTGCTTCCGCCTGGCCCCCACGCACTCGACCGCTCCGACGGGCACGCGGACAGGAGCGGGGAGGCCTGGGCTCTTTGACCCCCTTGACCCGGTTGACTTGGTTGACTCGGTTGGCTCGAGTCGGAATGCCTGGTGAGCCCAGCGGATGCCACATTCCCCTGCCTGCTCCGCTTCCCCCTTGCCCCCGCGCGGCGGTTGCCGCTTCCGCCGGCGCTATCATCCTCCCCGCAGATCGCGGGCGCAGCTCCGCCTGTCCCTGTGATTCCCCCCGCCCCTGTGATCCCCCCCGCCCCTGTGATCCCCTCCGCCCCTGTGATCCCCCCCGCCCCTCCTGCGCGGGCTGATACGTTCCGCGGCGCTGTCGCGGTTTCCCCAGCAGGCGGAAGGATTCCGCGGTACCGCCGTGCGCACCACGCACGAGCGTTGGCGGCGACATTCCCAAGCGGAGATCCGGCGGTAGGCGGATGCGGAGACTGCGCTCTGTCGCATGGAGATGGCGCAAACAACGAAGATTCTCCGCGAGCGCGCTCTGCGGCGGGTCTTGCGCCGCTCTCAGCGTTTTCCGCTTGTGACAAACTGGAGGACGGCGCGGCGGTCGCGGTGGCGGGAATTGCGGCAGGGATGGCAGCCGCGGCGACCGTGGGTGAGGCTTGACCGTCAGCGCGATTGGGCGAGTGGAACGCGTGCCTCGAGCCGCTGCGACGCGCGCGGACTGGCATGGATTGAGCGACACGTGGCGGAAATTCCAGAAAGACGGTCGGCCATGGATGCGCGCGCGTCGCACTGCTTTAGGACCAGCCTGAAGCTGCTTCGTAAAATAAGGACACGTGTCCGCCAATAGCACTGGCCCAGCTAAGTGCCGCTAGCGACTCGAAGTCCAGCTAACTCGAGGTCGAGTCAACAGGACAGGGTCCTAACCTAGTCCTCTGCCGCGTCGGCTTGAGAGAATAGTAACCTACGGTTCTTAGCCGTGCAATTAGTTCGCATTAACGAATCACTGATGCGCCTCCACCTTCTTTCTTTGGGAATACACGCGCTTCACTGTAAGAAGCAGGCTCGGTGGGATTTCCACGGGGGGTACCGTGACTGTATGTGGTGGGACTCAGCAAAGGATCGGGAAGTAAATGCTCATCGTGGCTAGAGAAAGGGGTGCCTTGTGCTAGGGAAGCGTGGGTCTGTCTGTCCGATGATGTGTGTGGGGGTGCCGCGCTAAATCAAGAGCGACGCTGCCTGCGGGATCGTGGGAGGGGAGAGGAGCAGTGGAGTATGGATAAGATCAGTGCCGTTGCCCTAGTCTCGTCGCCCGTCTCAATACAGACATCCACTCGATACAGATGGATGCGCGTGAAGTGAACACATCCCCTCAGCTCAACTCAAGTGAAAAACGTCCATCGTACAGGAAATAAACACGCCCCGCCCGCACCGCACTTTCACAAGCGCAAGCGCAAGGGTTTCTTGTGCAAACTTGGATTGGATTGGATGGAACTGCATGTGCACGCACCCCTGGTGTGATTTGGTGTGGTTGGATAGGACGGATCTTGCAGGAATGCTTGCACCGAGACCAGCCAGACCCAACCGAGACAAATCAAAATTAACCGAAGAAGCCTAGGCCGACCATTCCCGCGCAGTCCCGAGGTTGTGCACCAGACCACGTCACACCGTACTAAACCTCACCACATCACCGCAGCAAGAACTTGCTGAGCTGGACAGGAGGGTGGAGCGGGGCGGACGATGATTGACAGTCGAGCAAGCCCGTGGGGTGGGGACAGCGCCAGCGGCTCGTCGTGTCGTTATCTAAAAGATTCTCTGTTCACATCACGGGATGGCGTGGCAATCAATCACGTGGAACTCCAGTGACACACCGCCGCCTACAGGGGACCGACCGAATGCGATCCGCGTCACAATCAGATGCGACCAGCTCCACCACAATGGAGAATGCGTATGTCACTCTTAGTACAATAATATTCAGACTACACTCTGTACCGCAGAATACAGAAGAAGAGCTGTACAATGAAGAAGAGCTGTCTAAACCGAGCACATACATTTCACCCCTTCTCAAACCAGCTTCTTGTCAAATCCCCAAAACGCGTTCGCGAAGCAAGCATTTTCGTTACGCAGGTATTGTTTTCGCCTTTCCCCGCCTGCCGATCCCACTCCCCCCCTCCCTCCAGCTGCCACCCACAGGAATACACAAACCTCCTTTTCCCGCGCTCCTCCTCTCGACGTCTAGAGGATACCACGGATCGCCCTGAGCTTCGGCCATCCGAGGTCCCTAACTCATGATAGCACGAGTCGACTGAATCCTTAGGGCTTTGATTGGACGATTGGATTTTTTAGTCGATTTTTGCTGTTACCGCCGGGCCCTATGGGTCGGGAGGTGGAGTCCAGCGAGGTGGAGGTGGAGGCGTTACCCACGCCTCCTAAGTTCGATTTAAACATCGACTGGTCGCAAGTGAATCTCGAGGCGCTTCAGTTGCCTGAGGGCGAGGATTTCGACATCAAGAGGTGGGCTTGATTCTTAATAAATTGGTTTCCGAGAAGTCTCACGAACCGAAGAGGAGGGCTGGGACGTGGAAAAAACAGAATTAGGGTTCGGCTTTGATATCTTCATCCGTTTGTCAGAATTGGCGCTGGAGGTCTAATCTACGGCCGATCACGCGCTCCTGGGTGACGTCAAGGCGGGTTGACTCTTTTGAGACGTCTCAAAAGTCGAGTTTACGGCCGATCACGCGCTCCTGGGTGACGATAAGGCGGATTGACTCTGCATCAAGCTATCTGACTAGGAAGAGGGAGGAGGGGTTGGAGGAAGGGGGTATGGAGCCATGTCGCAAGGAGGAGCAGTTAGGTCGAGTGATTGCATGGCTCTTTTAGGGTTTCCAATCTAGATCACAACACCGCCGGGTTTGTGATTTCCTTCCTCCTTCGAACATGTTCAAAACGTTTTCGATTAGCTTGCTGGCTAGCCTGCTCGATGCAATCAGGTAACGGCATAGATACCATGGCGGCTCGCGAACTGTTACAAGATCTGTTACAAGAACTGTTACAAGATCAGGATAAATACTGGACTCGTTTCTGATTGCGCCTCCACGTCTCCTCCCATCCATTCGGTCCGAAGGAGAAATTCGCCGGAGACGCGGACGACTTCAATTTCCTTCTCCGATCCGTCTTTAAGGCGCAGAAAGCGTCCGATGGAGAAATTCGCTGGAGGCGCCGACGAGTCCAAGTTCCTTCTCCGCTTCGTTTGTTTCTGTTCGCATCCTCCTCTCGCGATCTTCTCTTGCCGATTCACCGTTTTCCCTCCTCATGTCCGCGTTTCCCCGCTTATCCTTCTCTACCCCCACCCCCCTCCCTCAACCTTCTCTCCCCCCCCCTCCCCCTCCTCCCCCCCCCGTCTTCCACCTTCCCCCCTCCCGGTCTTTCCCCTCTTCCGTCCATCGCTTCCTTTTTCCTGCGCGCAGCGAGGACGAGGAGGATCAGCTGGAGGTGGTGGAGACGGAGACGGGCTTCGGGGACGTCATCGTCGTCGACAATCTGCCCGTCACCTCCCTTCCCGTTCTCTCCTCTCCCCGTTCCTCGTTCCTCGTTCCTCACACTCTCCTTCACCCCCCGCTCGCAGCGAGGACGAGGAGGAGGAGTTAGAGGTGGTTGAAACCGAGACGGGCTTCGGAAACGTCATCGTCGTTGATAACCTGCCCGTCGTGCCGCCCGAAAAGTTTGAGAAGCTGCAGACCGTGGCCAAGAAGATTTTCGGGCAGATTGGGCTGATTCGGGAGGGGGGGCTGTGGATGCCCGTGAATAAGGAGACGCAGAAGACAAATGGATATGCCTTTATCGAGTACGCCACTCCCCAGGTACGGAGTATATCATAAGATCGGCCATAAAGCAAAGTTATTTTCCCTCCCTTCGTCGTTTTCCCGTCTCCCCGTCCGATCTTCTTCCTTTTCGCCGCCTTCTCGCGCTCACATTCCCATCCCTCCCCTCCCTCCCCTCCCTCTCCTTCCCTCCTCCCCCTCCCCCCCTCCCCCCCCCCATTCACCTCACAGGAGGCGCAGGCGGCGCGGGAGCAGATGGACGGGTACAAGCTGGACAAGGCGCACGTCTTCAAGGTCTCCATGTTCGACGACTTCGACAAGTACGCGCGCGTGCCCGACCAATACGTGCCGCCGCCGCAAAAGGAGTACACGCCCTCGGTGCGTGGGGGCGTTGGGCTATACGTTTGGATGGGCGGTTGGGAGGGTGGGTGCGTGGGTGGGTGGGCGGTTGCGTGCTTGTGTGGGCGGATGGGTGGGGTGTGAGTGCATGGGTTGAGCGACCAACTCGCCCTATTTTGTGGGGGTCCAAGGTCGAGTATGTCTTCGCCACCACTACGTGCCGTCACTCGAGGAATATGTGCCCCCCCTCCCCCCCTTCCCACCCTCCCTCCCTCTTCTTCTCATCTCATTTCCTGCCCCACCCGCTCCCCTTTTTCCTCCTCCCCCACTCCTCCCTCCTCTCTCTTCCCGCCCTGCTCGCGAATCTGCAACGGTCGCGCCGGACGAGCTGCAACTGGACTCGTCACTAACACTCCCCCGTTTTGCTCCCCCCCATCCCCGCATCCCCTTTCCCCCCTTCCGCTTCCCCCATCCCCACACCCCTCCCCCCCCTTTCAGGAGAACCTGCAATGGTTCGCGGCGGACGAGCGCGGGCGCGACCAGTTTGTGATTCGCTTCGCGTCCGAAACCGAGGTCTACTGGAACGACGCGCGCGCCGCCAAGCCCGACCCCGTCTACCGCCGCACAGTAAGGCCAAGAGGGGAGGGGGATAAGGCGCAGGGGAAGGGGGACGAGGCGCAAGAAGGAAGGGGGGGGGGTGAGCCGCAAGGGGGGGTTGGTGGGGGGTGGTGAGCCGCAAGGGGAGCAGGGAGGGGGGGGGGGGGTTGAGCGGGGGGGGGGGGTGATGCGCCACGCGCACGTAAGGGGAAGGTGATCGAGCAGCATGGTGGAGAGATGATTGACACTATCTCCCCTTTCTCCAACCCCTCACGACCCCACCCACCCTCCCTTCCCCCTACCCTCTTCCCCACCCTCCCCCACTCTCCACCCCACCTCTTCCCCCCCCACACCCCTGCAGTTTTGGACGGAGAGTTTCGTGCAGTGGTCCCCGTTGGGCAGCTACCTCGCGACCATCCATCGCCAGGGCGTCGCCCCCTCTCTCCCTTCGCCCTCGATTCACTGCGCCACTTCTTCCCCCTTTTCTCCCTCTCCCCTCCTGTCTCCCTTTCCCGCCCTCCACCACACCCCCGCCTTCCCCCCTCAGTTTTGGACGGAGAGCTTCGTGCAGTGGTCCCCTCTGGGCAGCTACCTCGCGACCATCCATCGCCAGGGCGCGGCTATCTGGGCCGGCCCCTCGTGGCAACGCATCATTCAAACACCTCTTCTTCTGTCTTCCTCCCCCCCATCTTCCAGTTTTGGACGGAGAGTTTTGTGCAGTGGTCGCCGCTGGGCAGCTATCTCGCGACCATCCATCGCCAGGGCGCCGCCATCTGGGCCGGCCCCTCGTGGCAACGCATCATGCGCTTCGCTCACCCTCAGGTGGGTTGCGAGGGGTGCAGGTGGGTTGCGAGGGGTGCAGGTGGGTTGCGAGGGGTGCATCGTGGAGCGGCTATCTGGGCCGGCCCATCGTGGGAACACATCGCGCTTTGTGCACCCTCAGGTACCACCTTTTGCCAAGTAAAACGCCCCTCAGGTAAGCCTGCCCCAGATGTTCATTCAAGTTTCGCTACTTCCTCAGCTCGCCCTTCCCTCACTTCACCCGCTCTCCAAGTTTGCTGCTGACTCCCCCTCCCCTCCATCCCCTCCTTCCTCTCCCCCACCTTTCGCTTCCCTCTCCATTTCCTTGTTTTTGAGTCGTCTCGTTTTTCCTTGCCTCACTTGACCCGTTCTCCGAGTTTGCTGCTGACTCCCCCTCCCCTCCTTCCCCCCCCTCCTCCTCCCCCCCCCTTCCCCCCCCCCCCATCGCATCCCTCTCTTCGTTCCCTTGTGATGCTTTACCTTATCTCCATCGCGTGTTGAGCCTTCCGCCCTGTCTCGCCCCCTCGCTTCATGCCGTCCAGCTGTAATCCCCTTCCACTCCTCCATTTTCTCCCTCCCTTTTCTCCCTCCATTTTCTCCCTCCATTTTCTCCCTCCATTTTCTCCCTCCCTTTTCTCCCTCCATTTTCTCCCTCCCTTTTCTCCCTCCCTTTTCTCCCTCCCTTTTCTCCCTCCCTTTTCTCCCTCCATTTTCTCCCTCCCTTTTCTCCCTCCATTTTCTCCATGCTGTGCCCTCCCACCTCACCTTCTTGTGTCTCTCGTCTTCCCTCACGGTGTGCTGTGCTGCCGTATACCCCTTGCTTTTTGTGGCCTTCAGGTGCGGCTGATTGACTTCTCGCCAGGGGAGCGATTCCTGGCGACGTACAGCAGCCACGAGCGGCGAGCCTGCTAACGCTGTGCTGTGCCCTCACCTTCTCGTGTGTCTCTTCTCCCCTTACGTTGTGCCGTGCTGCCGTATTCCACGTCCTCTCCTCCTTTCTCCTCTTCAGGTGCGTCTGATAGACTTCTCGCCAGGGGAGCGCTTCCTGGTGACTTACAGCAGCCACGAGCCGGCTAACCCGCGGGACACGCAGAAGGTGGTGTTGAACGTGTTTGATGTGCGCACGGGCAAGAGCATGCGCGAGTTCAAGGGGGCGGCTGATGACTTCGCTACTGGTGGTGCTGGTGGCGTAGCTGGCGTGCAGTGGCCTGTCTTCAGGTGGGTTCTGTGGTCTTCAGGTGGGCCTTATGGTTTTCCTATAGTCTTCAGGTCGGTTCTGTTGTCGTCAGGTGGGTTCTGTTGTCCTAAGGTCTTCCCCCCCGTCCCCCCCGGTCTCTCCCTTCCCTCCAGGTGGGCGGGGGGGCGCGAGGACAAGTACTTTGCACGCCTGGGCAAGAACTGTGTCTCAGTGTACGAGACCCGCACCATGGCGCTGCTCGATAAGAAGTCCCTCAAGGCGAATCACGTGCAGGACTTCACCTCACCTTCTCTCCCCTCTCCCCCGTCCCCCCCTTCCTCCTCCTCCCCTGTCTCGCAGGTGGGCGGGGGGGCGCGAGGACAAGTACTTTGCACGGCTGGGCAAGAACTGCGTTTCAGTCTACGAAACCAGCACCATGGCACTGCTGGATAGGAAGTCGCTCCCCCTTCCCCTTCCCTCTTCCCCTTTCCCTTCGCCCTTCCCGCGCCCCATCCCCCCACCCCCCCGGTCTTTCCCTTCCCTCCAGGTGGGCGGGGGGGCGCGAGGACAAGTACTTTGCACGGCTGGGCAGGAACTGCGTTTCAGTCTACGAGACCCGCACCATGGCGCTGCTCGACAAGAAGTCGGTGAAAGCCGACCACATGCAGGATTTTACCTCACCTGCTCTCCCCTCTCCCCCTTCCCCTCCCTCCTCCCCTCCCCAACTCCCTACCCTTTCCTCCTTCCCTTCCTCCTCTCCCGTCCTTCCCCCACCCCCCACTCCTCACACACCATCCGCTCTGCCGTCTCGCAGGTGGGCGGGCGGGCGTGAAGACAAGTACTTTGCGCGCTTGGGCAAGAACTGTGTGTCAGTCTACGAGACCAGCACTATGTCTCTGCTGGACAAGAAGTCCCTCAAGGCGGATCACGTGCAGGACTTCACGTGGTCGCCGGCTGAGCCTATCCTGGCTATGTACATCCCTGAATCCAATGGGGGGAATCAACCTGCCAGGGTGAGTGCCTGTTCCCCTGAGTTAGTGAGGCACAGGGGGCAGCGGGTTCCTGAGTGAGCCCCCAAGGCGGATCACGTGCAGGACTTCACGTGGTCGCCTGCTGAGCCCATTCTTGCGATGTGCATCCCTGAGTGCAATGTACGCCACCAGCCCTCTAGGGTGAGAGAGTGGGGTGGGTGCGGTAGCTAGCAGCAGATGGGTCCAAGGAGCAGTAGGTGGGTGACCACGTCGTGCAAGGCGGAGCACGTGCACGACTTCATGTGGTGACTTTTGAGGCACTCACGAGGCGACTCAAAAGTCACTTCACGTGGCCGCCCGCGGAGCCCATCCTCGCCATGTGCATCTGTGAGTATAACGGGGGGAACCAGCCCCCCGTTTAGGTATTCAGCATAGGTGCAGCAGGAGGATGTAGGAGTAGGAGGAGGGTCACGGGCAGCTAGTAGTTTCTGGGGGTGTTCAGCCTGCCTGGGTGGGTCTCGGTCTCAGTACCAGCTTGACTTGGCTTACACGCCGTGACTTTTGAGTCGACTCAAAAGTCACCCCGAGGGGCAGCTAGTAGTTGATGGGTGCGTTCAGCCTGCCTGGGTGAGTGGGTCTCGGTCTCAGTACCAGCTTGACTTGCCTTACACGCCTCTGTCCCTCATTCTTGCTTTCTAAACCTCATGGCCGTGCAGAACACCCTGAATCGTTTTTTTTTTTTCCTCTGCCCCTCTTCTTCCTTCATCCCCCCTCTCTGCCCCTCCTCTCTTCCCATCTTCCCCCACTCTCCCATCTTCCCTACTCCACCAGGTGAGCCTGGTCGCAATACCGTCCCGGGAGGAGCTGCGTAAAAAGAACCTGTTCAGTGTGAGCGAGTGCCGCATGGCGTGGCAGAGCCCCCTTAACCCTCTCTTTCTCCGCTCCCTCTCCTCCCCGCCTCCGCCCCTCCTCTGTCCTTTCCCCTTTCTCCTCCCAGGTGAGTCTCATTGCCATCCCATCCCGAGAGGAGCTGAGGCAGAAGAACCTGTTCAGCGTGAGCGAGTGCCGCATGGCGTGGCAGAGCGTGCTCATCCCTCATATCCCTCGCTCTCATCTTCCCCACTCTCCACCTCCGTTTCCCCTTCCTCCCTTCTTCCCCCCCCCAGGTGAGTCTCATTGCCATCCCATCCCGAGAGGAGCTGCGGCAGAAGAACCTGTTCAGTGTGAGCGAGTGCCGCATGGCATGGCAGAGCGCGGGCGAGTACCTGGCAGTCAAGGTCGACCGCTACACCAAGACCAAGAAAACCACCTACTCGGGCTTTGAGCTTTTCTCATTGAACCCTCTTTCCCTGTCCCCCGTTCCTTCTCCTCCCGCCCTCCGCCCCTCCGCCCCCTCTCCTCTGTCCTCTCCCCCTCCTCTGTCCTCTCCCCCTCCTCTGTCCTCTTTCTTCCCCCCACACCCCCCCCCGTCACTCTGTCTGCAGGTGAGTCTCATCGCGATCCCATCCCGGGAGGAGCTGAGGCAGAAGAACCTGTTCAGCGTGAGCGAGTGCCGCATGGCCTGGCAGAGCGCGGGCGAGTACCTGGCAGTCAAGGTCGACCGCTACACCAAGACCAAGAAAACCACCTACTCGGGCTTCGAGCTCTTCCGCATCAAGGAGCGCGACATCCCAATCGAAGTCCTCGAGCTAGAAAACAAGAACGACAAAGTGATAGACTTTGCGTGGGAGCCGAAGGGGCATAGATTCGCCGTGATTCACGGGGATGGACCGAAACCCGACGTGTCGATTTACACGATGAAGCCGGCGGGGGCGGGCGGGGCGGGGGGCGTGGTGAAGGTGGCGAAGCTGGCGACGCTCAAGGGGAAGCAGGCGAACACGCTGTGCTGGTCGCCCATGGGACGGTTCCTCGTGCTGGCGGGGCTCAAGGGGTTCAACGGGCAGTTTGAGTTTTTCAACGTTGATGAGCTGGAGACGATGGGCACTGGGGAACACTTCATGGCGACGGACGTTGAATGGGATCCCACCGGCAGGTGAGAGGTGGCATGGCGGAAGGTGGGAAGTGGGGGCTTTGAGTTGTTCAATGTGGATGAGCTGGAGACGATGGGCACTGGGGAGCATTTTATGGCGACGGATGTTGAATGGGACCTCACTGGCAGGTGAGAGATGGTGGTGGGGCGTGGGGGGGGGGGATGTGCATGTGAGGCGGGCAGCGTGGTGAAGGTGGCGAAGCTGGCGACACTGAAGGGGAAGCAGGCGAACACGCTGTGCTGGTCGCCCATGGGACGGTTCCTCGTGCTGGCGGGGCTCAAGGGGTTCAACGGCCAGTTTGAGTTGTTCAATGTTGATGAGCTGGAGACGATGGGCACTGGGGAGCACTTTATGGCAACGGACGTTGAGTGGGACCCCACTGGCAGGTGAGATGACGCCTATCGTTGGGGATGTGGTTGGGGAAAAGGGGGCGGGCATGTGAGGCCTGGCTCAAGGGGATCAACGGGAAGTTTGAGTTGTTCAATGTGGACGAGCTCGAGACGATGGGTACTGGGGAGCATTTCATGGCGACTGATGTTGAATGGGACCCCACTGGCAGGTGAGAGATGGTGGTGGGGCGTGATGGGGCATGGCTGTGCATGGGGCAGAGGGGCAACTGGGGGGAAAGGGGAGGAGAGTGTGTTTCTCGGGGTTTTTTGGTGCTGACGGGGCTACGGGCAGTTTGAATTCTTCAATGTTGACGAGCTGGAGACCATGGGCACTGGGGAGCATTTCATGGCCACCGGCAGGTGAGGTGGGCGGTGGCATGGCGGTGGCATGGCGGTGGCATGGCGGTGGCATGGCTGTGCACGTGGGAGAGGGAGGGCCGGGGGGGAGAGGGAGGAGGGAAGAGGGGCAAGAGGGGGATTTGAGGTGGCCGACATTTGTTTGCTGATGACAAGCTGCCTTGTTTGTGTGAGTGATGGACCGAGTCTTGGGTCTTCTGCCCCCGCCCCCGCGCCCGCGCCCGCGCCCGCCCCCCTCCGTTTTATTCTGTTTCCGCAACCCCTCTTTCCCTCCGTTCCCCCGCAATGAAACCACCTAGCCTCGTCATTGTCATCTGGTCCTTTAGCGGCTCAATGACCAGATGACAATGGAACAAAAGAGAGCCCTCTCCTTTAGCGGGCTGCTCTCTTTTCTTCTCAAAGCCGCCCTCCCATCCTCGTCCCTCCCTCCCTCCCTCCCTCCTCTTTCGCTTCTCTTCTTGTCCCTGTGTTCCGTCCCCCTGTTTCTCTTTACGCCAGGTACCTAGCGACAGCAGTGACATCAGTGCATCAGATGGAGAACGGATTCCACATCTGGTCCTTCAGTGGCCGCCTGCTCTACCAGCTGCCGCGCGACCGCTTCATGCAGGTCAGTGGGAGGGAAGTTTAGTAGGTCTAGGGTGACAGACTGGTTCGTGATGGTGAAAGGAAGGTTCGTGTAGGGTGACAGACTGGTTCGTGATTTTGGTTGTATGCTCATGGTTTGGAACAGTTTTCACGAACCACATCTGGTCCTTCAGCGGCCGCCTGCTCTATCAGCTGCCGCGGGACCGCTTCATGCAGGTGAGAGACTGGTTTGCAGTCTTAGTTGCTAAGTGCGTATGGTACGGAACGGCTTTCACATCTGGTCCTTCAGCAGCCGCCTGCTCTACCAGCTGCCACGGGACCGCTTCATGCAGGTAAGTGTGAAAAAGGAAGGCCCGTGCTGCCATGCATTTCGAAGCTCTTTCTTATCTTTTATTATTGGGGCATGCATAAGCAACAAGACAAATGTCAGTTCTCTTTCATCCCCCCTTCAGTGTATACTGGCCTCCCTGCCCTTCTCCCCTCGGCCCTCTCCTCTCCCCTTCTCCCCTCTCCTCTTCCCCGTTCCTTCTCCCTTCTCCACCCCTCCAGTTCCTGTGGAGACCCCGTCCCCCGTCCCTGCTGCCCGCAGAAAAAGAAGCGGAAGTTTCCAAGAACCTGCGCAAGTACAGCCGAAAGTACGAGGTGGAGGATGAGGAGGCCGGGGCGGCGTCGAGCGCAGCGGAGGTGGAGAGGCGGCGCATTGTCATGGACGAGTGGCGGCAGTGGCAGGCGGAGTGGCGGCACATTGACGAGCAGGAGGAGAAGCTGCTGGCGGCGATCAGGGGAGGCGTGAAGGAGGAGGAGGAGGAGTATAAGGCGGAAGAGGTGGAGGTGGAGGAGATTATCGATATTCAGGAGGAGATTGAGAGGTTTGAGTGAGAGGGAGGGGGGTGCTGCAGTGCAGATGTGGCAAATGGATTAGCTGGTAGTGAAGCTGAGGGTGGTAATTAGGGGAAAAAAGGAGGGCAATGGGAGATGGATATGGGGAGGTGAAGAGATGTGCTGCCGTGTGGTCAAGAAAAGTGTCCGCTTTCAGTAATCAACCTGATATACTTCTGGGAAGGAAAATAATGCACCGCATGTATTTTTTACGTGTTACATTTCATTAAAACCGCAGGCCAAGTAATTCAAGCTTAGGAAGGTTGGTTGGGAGTAAGGACGCGATTCGCCCGTGAGCCAATATGAGTGACAAAAATGTTGGCCTAGGTCTTAGGGCGTATCTTGGGTTCCGGTCATGAGCACTGTTCCGGGCATGCGCGAATTGCGGATGCCCGGAACAACTAAAAACACCACTTTGGGTTCTCGGGACTCATGCGACCCCCAAATTGGCGCGAGGCTTTTCGCGCCAAAATTACGCCCCAAACAACAGTCGCATCCAATGGAGGGATGCCAGAACAGTCCGAAAGTTCGTTTGCGACACCCACGCAAAACACGATCGCTAAAAATGTCGGCATGAATCCCCAAATGTTGGGAGCGCGACGCGGGAAATGTTAGACACATTTCGTGTGTCAATAGGGTCATTTTGCCGAGTGGTTGGGTGCAGAGGTGTAGGATACGGTACGCGGGAAAATTCTGGCACTCGACTGACGACCGCCAAAATTTCGGCAGTCTAACGTGAATCGTGCAACCAGGTGATTGGTTGGGGGTGGGTCGTGCACGTCAGTCGCCCACCTGCTGCACATTGACCCAAAGCTGGGGCCGCGCGCGGCTCGGCAGCCCACTTCGGGTCATGCGCAAAAACCGCATGACCGGAACAGTGCCATGAACAGTGCTCATGACCGGAACCCAAGATACGCCCTTAGAATTGGGGAATGAGCACAGGCGTTTTTGGGACATCCAGCCAACATTAGGGCGTGTAAAATCGGCGAGCATTTATAAAAAAAATGGGTTTGGCCGGGTTTCAGACGACCAAATGGTCGACACTTCTTTCGCACAAGTCGACCTGATGGCCGAAGTGGACCAATAAGCAGCCAGTATTTACAGGTCTGAAAATTTTACAACAATGCAGGCCGAATTGCTGGCCGACTCCAGAAAGTTGTAAAATTTGCAGGTGCTACAGCGGAACGTTTGTGCGACGGGGTCGCACATATGACGGCGAAGTCTCTGATTCGACAGGAGAAAATAATCTGTCGTTCTGCGAGACTGTGCGACGTCGCACGTGACAGTCGCTCACGGAGTCGACTACTTGGCCGAATTGGAGTCGACATGGTGTCGAATTCGAGTCGACTTTCGAAACGGCCATCAATTTCGTTTTATACTCGCGAAATTTGCGAGAGTCGCAAGAGTTTTCGTCAAACTCTCAAACGGGTTACTTTCGCCAATTCGGCCATTCGGCTGGTGGCCGAATTTTTAGGAGCGGCGATTTTACACGCCCTTAGGAAGGATGAGGCAAATTTGGCTTTCTTGACCCACGGGTTTTATGTAACTTTTTTTTTAAATAATCAATTTAGGTCGTCGTGACGCAGGCGATAAGGGGGCATTGCATGTTTCAGGTCGGCGTTACTCCAAAACTGTACAAAACAGTTCGGAGGAGCTGTGTACGAAATCGAGGGATGAGTTCCTTCCCTCCTCCCACGTGTCACTTTCACTAATCACGGAACTTAACGCCTCCCTACAGTAATCTTGCATTCTGTTCCATATGCTTGACGACTACAGTACATCCTCGTTCGCTGATGGGTCAGGTGGGGCAGAAGGAAACACCTAGGAGGAGTCTCGCAAATGGTCTCGCCGCCTCAAAAAGAAAGAAATCGTCTAGGGTTGATTAGTTGGCCACAGGCGTCAAAATAGTGGCTATCGAATCATGAAGCCATTTTCTGTCGTTAGGGTCTTGCTGCTCTGAAAAGTCTTGCTGTGCGGGTCATGCGGGTACACGTCAGCTCCAGATTCTAAATATGTGTAGATAGACGGAGGATGTACACGGCAAATAGATGCTGACTTCACGTCACGGCATTTGGAATGCTCAGATAACGACACAGGCGCCTAGCTGTACTGTACTGTAGTGTTATCCTCCTCGGCCAATCGTTATCGAGCAGCCATGGCACAGCGTAGAGAAGCCAGGACAAGAGTCATTCGAAGTCTACCTTTCGGTGTGTGGTGGAGAGACGCTGACGTACAGTTTCACCCTTCGTATGTTGGCAATGGAAAGGTGAAAGCAAGGGGACGACGAGAGGCAGTCTTCAAGATTTTTTTTTCCCGGGGGGGAAAAGGGGAAGGTGGGGAGGGGACCTTTGTGCGACTCCGAGTCGTTTGCCCCAGAACCTCCCGAGGTTGTTATCCCCGGGAGAAGTACAGCCTAGTAGTAAACTTGCACCCAGCTCGAATGATTCTGCTCTGCTCTTTCAGTGTGGTTTCCGCTTATGCGGCCTCCGAGTCGGACCCTTCGCCGAGCTTTTCCAGCCGGGCTTGTTCCTTCATAGTAGCACCTTCCACTGGGCTCGTTCGAGGTGGTGCTAGTAGCTCCACGAGAGGCTGTCACCGCGGCGATTCAGCCTGTGCGGCACAGCAATATGCCCGACTCTAACGCAGCAACGGCGCCGGTTCTGCCGCCGGAAACGGCGCCAGCATCGCCGTCAGTGTCCGTTCTAACCAACTCCGATACCGCTGACGGCGGCGTTTCTGAGAATGCCACCAGCGGCGATAGTACTAGCTCCGGCGGCGGCGGCGGCGGCGGCGGCTCCCTTGGAAGCCAGCGGCGTCGTGGCAACGTGAACGGAGCCCCCAGCATCATCATTCCGGGACCCGATTCGAAGAAAGGAAATGCTACTAGTACGAGTCGGGTTACCACCAGAGCCCCCAGGATCGTCAATGGGTGTACCACCACCACCACCACCACCACCACCACCACCACCACCACCTCCTCAGAAACTCCGCAGCAGCATCAACATCATCATCACGCGGCCTCCTCCTCATCCCCATCGCCGCCAAATGATACCCAGGCAGCACACCCATTTGCAAATTCGGCAACGCCGCCGCTTGCATTCCAGCAGCAACTGCTCGACTCGACCACCCTCCAGCAACTGCTTCAGCATCTCGCAGACGCGGCGGCATCCGGGCAACCGGCGGCGGCATCCGGGCAACCGCTGGCTGCCGCGGCACCGCGGAACGCAACGGTTACATTCAACAGCTCTGCGCCGGTTCCCACTGGGAGTCACAGAGCGGGGACAGCACACGATCAGATCAGATCAGATCCAGCAACCGGCGGCGGTGGCGGCGGCGGCGGCGGCCTGCGGCTCCACTATTTCACCTTGCCGAATGGCGTGTGCGGGTTCTTTCTCGCGGACCCGACCGCGGCACAAGCCGCCGGTTCGGGATCGTCGAACCAAGCCGGTGCATCCGCGTCCGCGTCTTTGCCCGAGCCTACCATCCGCCCCAAACCGGACTCCGCCGCGGCGGATGCCGGTTCTTTTCCAAGCAGCCATGACGCGGCGTCGGCGTATGATGCGAGAGCATCCGACGGGTCGGCGTCATGGCCGGCCGTTGGGTGCGGCCTGTGTTTTGAGTCGACTCACAACACGAGATCGTCCGATGGGTCATCATGGCCGGCCGTTGCGTGCGGTGGACTCAGGCCTTGGGCCGGCCTGTCCGAGCAGGCTGCCGCAGCATGGGTTGGCGAGGGGAGCATGGGGAGCGGGGGAAGCGTGGGGAGCGGGGGGAGCGGGGGGAGCGGAGGGAGCGGGGGAGAGCCCGAGCCTGGGGGAGGGATGCGCATTGTGGAAGGCTATCGCGGAGAGATCCAGATCGGTGCAATGCCGACACAACCTGTAGCGGAGTCTAACTGCTTACCCGTCGCACCACTCACTCCACTCACTTCGCTCACTCAACTCGCTCCACTGGGTGACATCTGGCGTACTATCCAGACCGCACTGCCCGAGCCGCTGCCGCCGCCGCCACCATCGTTCCACGTTGCTACTACTACTAGTACAACAGATGCAAATGCAACGGAGATGGCCGCCGGAGGGAGGGGCTGTAACGACAACAGCATGGCTCTTGAGCCGGCCACTCAACGGCTTGGGAATGATGCCGGTGTGAATGTCGATATGACGGCAGTCATGCCGGCGCACCAGATTCCTGTTATTTTTGAGGCGCCTCAACTTGAAGCTCTCCAAAATCCTCTTTCCTCCATCACTCCCGCTGCTCCTGGGCTCGTAAACATGCACAGTACAAGTGCGGCAACAACTCATGCCTGTCACCTTTACAGCAGCCTCAGTGAGGCGGCTGCGCAGGCTCGGTCCGGCACAGCAGAACCTGGAGTGGACGGTCTTCGCGATGCGGCCGCCAATGTGCCTGCTACTACTGCTACTGCTACTATGGAGCCACAGGGTATCACCAACAGCCTTCTTGGCTCTTTGGAAGCTCGGCAGCCTTCTTGGCTCTTTGGAAGCTCGGCAGCCTTCTTGGCTCTTTGGAAGCTCGGCAGCCTTCTTGGCTCTTTGGAAGCTCGGCAGCCTTCTTGGCTCTTTGGAAGCTCGGCAGCCTTCTTGGCTCTTTGGAAGCTCGGCAGCCTTCTTGGCTCTTTGGAAGCTCGGCAGCCTTCTTGGCTCTTTGGAAGCTCGGCAGCCTTCTTGGCTCTTTGGAAGCTCGGCAGCCTTCTTGGCTCTTTGGAAGCTCGGCAGCCTTCTTGGCTCTTTGGAAGCTCGGCAGCTGCTGGCTGTTGTGGCTGCTGCTGTTGCTCCGAGCTGGAATCCTGTTGGGACGAACGAGCACCATCATCCTACGACAGTAGACTCTACTCACTTCCCTGCCACCCAACACCCTCTCCATACCCCGCACTACCAAGTGCAGGCTTCAGAATATCCTGACACAGACTCTCCAATCGCCATACGTGCTGCTGTTGATGCTGCAGCTCTTTCTTCTGCTGATGCTGCCACTCCTGCAGCTGCTAATCCTGCTGCTCCTTCTGCTGCTGATGCTGCCACTCCTTCAGCTGCTAATCCTGCTGCTCCTTCTGCAGCTGATGCCGCTGCCGCCGTCATCAGCGCCGCTTCTGATCGCACCAGAGGTGCTACCGAGTGCAAAAATGCAGAAAATGTGTTCGTCGACGGGTGCAGCGACTTCACCACTCACGACTTCACCTCTCACGACAACACCTTTCACGACTTCACCTCTCTGCTTCTCATGGATCCCCTCTCCCTCGATGACTCGCTGCCCTATCCCTTCACCGCTTTGGACTCCTTGGCACCGGGCGCAAACATGCCGACAGGAGATTCCCCGCGAAGGGATATGCCGACCGGGATTTTTTCGCCAGCTACCCAAGGAGCAGCTTATATCAGAGAGGGATCATCGGAAGAGCAGATCGGAGATGCTGAGGAGGGAGAGAGGCTGCCGCAGGCGAGCCTTGCATTTGCAGCTCAGGAGGAGCTGTTTCAGGCCCTGCTGCTAGGGGAGGCACCAGAGAGCGACACAAAGAGGCTGCTGACTGCTCCAAGCAGTGCGGGCATGCGTGCTGCTCAGGCTGGCGAACCATCTGAGTATCCACCTGAGTATCCACCTGAGTTTTCACCTGCTGGTCTGGTCATGAAACAACCTGGAGATTCATCGTCAGGTCCCTCTGGAGATCGAGATCCATCTGAAGATCCAACGGCCACAGCATCTTTGTGTTTTCCGAAGCCGAGAATGCTCCGGGTGTGGAAACATGCGTGACCCCGCGAAACACCGGTGATTCTAGTGTAACAGGGTTTGTGCTTGACAAGCGCCAAGCACTGCTTGGTGCTGGCAGGAAGGACCTAGTTGTGAAGATGGCCGTGAAAAGTGCTGCTTTGACACCAGAGGAAGGGAGGCAGGAGGGAGGCAAGCAGCAGAAGAAGAGGAAAAGGACCCTGAAGAAGTCTCAAGTTGTTTCCTCTGTGCAGGGCGGGCAGCTGGATGCTGCTGCTGTTAAGGAGGTTTTTCCTGAACCCACGAGCATAACAGTGGCAGAAGCATGCGCGATGCAAAGACACACTGATGATTCTGGTGATACTGGGGTTGCTGTGGGAGGGAGTGAGGCAGCTTTGAAGGCGGCTGCGGTAGGTGCTGCTGTTGCTTCGGAGGGGAGGGAGGAGGGAGGCAAGCAGCATAAGAAGAGGAAGAAGGCACAGAAGAAGACACAGGTGGTATCATCAATGCAGAGTGGGCAGCTGTATGGAGCACCTGAGAAGGCAGCTCCCAAGGCCAAGAAAGCGAGGAAGGAGAAAGTGCCACAGGATTCCAAGTCCTCTGACCAGGGCAACAGTCAGGCTCAACCTTCCAGTGTCGTGAGTTCTGCTCCAGAACCAGCACCAGCAGCAGAACCAGCACCAGCAGAACCAGCACCAGCAGGTTTAGACCCGGCAGGTAGTTCCAGTGAAGGGTTGACTAGCTCGTCAACCCCCTCTCCTGCAGCTGCTGCTGCAAATCAGAAAGGACCTGGACCTAAACCGAAGAATAAAAGACGAGCAGAAGACAGTTCGTGTGGTGAAGTGAGGTACATTGGAGTTCGGAAGAGGGGATTGGGCAATCGATGGGTGGCGGAGATAAAGGACAACATCCATGGCGTGCGGAGGTGGCTTGGGACGTTTGGCACTCCTGAAGAGGCGGCTCGTGAGTATGATAAGGCAGCACGGGAAATCAGAGGTCAAAACACCCGCCGCACCAACTTCCCCTTACACAAGTAGGCAGTCGCTCAATGATAAAGTCAATTCCAGCACCGGGGTAGCTCAGTGCTTGGACCCGTACATGGTTTAGGATTTGGGTATTGTACTCTTCTGTGGTAAATAATATATTATTACCTATTATTAATTATGACAAATTATGTTTTGATTTTTTTTTGTGTGTGTAATATTGATTTGAGACCCTTTCTGAGCTGTTCAATTTGACAAGTGGGTTTGGCTAGCATTGACCATTCGGGGCTCCTTGGCAATCATACAAATAATCGTACCTTACAATTGAAACTAGAGTTATGGTCAGTGAATCAGTGACCAGGGCCCTAGAAGCCATCCTATCGTCATTGAGTTAGTCACAATTTCGATATTCCTATACTTCGCGCACTTTGTACGTTCATCCATAACACTATACATGATGATGTTTGTGAGGAATTTTCTCGAATTCCTTATCGGGGTTGACTGCTGCGCGTACAACCCGATTTTCGGAGTTCGCACGTTCGGGCGATTTCCACGCTGCCGAGGCTCCTCGCGTCGCCTTCGGCATTCCCATCGCCAAACCTGCACCCAACCTCGCTCGCCCGAGGTTTCCTCCTAGCTAGGCTAGCCCTACATTAGTCTGTGCATTCATTGTATTCTCAGTTCATTCAGTCACAGCCTCGTTATTCGTTTACCTGCGCACTCTCTTTTACAACTCATAACACCTGGTATCAGAGCTACTTTCCTAGTTCACCCCGCTTTTCGAGGGTAGTTTGGTGGCACGGGTGTGGTTGGTTTAGTGACTACACGACGGTTGGCTGCAGGGATTGTTAATTCAATCCTGCCCGACTCCGATAGTTCGTGTTTTCACTTACCGGGAGGCCACGGGTACCCGACTGCCCACCAGACGTAGTGCTAGGCACATGGATCAGGAGGCTGTTAACCGGATGATGGCGCAAGTGGCAGAAATGCAGGAGAGCATGAAGACATTAATGGCGGAAGTGACAACACTGCGAGAGGAAAACGCCGAGCTACGCCAGACGCGAGGTGAAGCGCGTCAGGCGTCGCCTGTGGACGAAGGCGAGGGCAACAGTCAGGCGATGAGCAATCCGCTGGATGCGCTCACACGTGACTTCGAAGAAGAAGACAGGCAGCGAGCGGCAGCAGCGCCAGTTGCAGTAACGACGATCAAGATCAAGCCCGCCAACCCGCCCCCGTTTAATCCTACGGACAAGACGACTACAGTGAAGGGGTGGCTTTTCGGCGCGGAGGTCTTCTTCACGGCAGCAGGCGTTAACGACGACGCCACGCGTATTAATTACGCGGTTTCGCTTCTTCGAGGTGCAGCGCTTGAATGGTGGCGCCGAACCTTGGAAACAGGGACGCCGACAGGTGTGACACATGCGGCAGACGGGACCTCTAAAGTGGCTCATCAAGTGGCGGAACCTATCTTCGGGGTGACCAAGATTCGCACGTGGAAGGAGTGGGGCGCAGCCTTACGAGATCGCTTCGAGCACGTATCCGCCTCGGAGCAAGCTCGCATGAAGCTGCGTGCATGGTCGCAGATGGCTTCTGTCCAAGACTACACGGCGTCATTTATGGGCCTCGCCGACCAAGTGGATGACATGTCGGAAGCAGAGCGGTTGGATAAATACATCAGCGGCCTTAAATACGAGATACAGTACGAGGTTCGCAGGGGCCGCCCGACATCGTTTCTTGAAGCTGTACGGCTGGCGGAGTCAACAGATGCGCTGATGCAGTACGCGAGAGCTGCTTTCAGGGATGGGAGAAGCTTTCGTGGCCAGACCCATCGGGCCACGATCAACGCCGTCCATACACCCGACCAACCTCCTAGTGGTCCGTGTTTTCGGTGTGGGAAGGTGGGTCACTACAAGAAAGACTGCCGGGAGAAAATGCCGCTGACAGGGGACGACAGGAAGGAGCAGGGAAATGGGAAGAGTCAGTAATTAGCGGGCCCTTTACTGACTGTGCTCCGTCGCCCGAACACCACCATCCCCACCGAGTCGTGGTTCCGATTCATGCAATCGATCGCACTCGGCCGAATAACGGGGATAATCATGTGGATCACCCTGTGCTGGTCGCTGGCAAGGTGTTCAAAAATAATTCGAAAATGTTCGTCGATGGGGGGGCCAGCCATAGCCTCTTCAACTTGGCGAGCGCAAAAAGATGCAGATTGCAACTTGACAGGTGTCTGCCCGAAATCGACGCACGCCTCGTGGATGGGACGCCTCTGGCGATAACGGAAGAAACACGGACGGTGCGGATCGAATGCGGCGACGATTTCGGCTTCAGCATGAAGTTCCTCGCGACGACGCTGGACGGCTGCGATGTGCTACTCGGACGCGATTGGCTGCGACGACACAATCCCCTCATCGACTGGACAAAACAACGGGATCGTGCTGCATCAGCAAGCACGGGGGGCTAATTAAACTGCCTGCATGGACACCTGACTACATACAAGCCCCGTGCGTCAAGGCCATCACTATAGCTCACCACTTCAACAGGGGTGCGCAGGTGTTTGCCGTTTGTTCGCGAGAGTTGGCAGTCGACACCGACGGAAAGGACATCGAGAAGCTGTGTGCAGCTGTACCTCCGGATTTAGCGGAGCTGATTCGACAGTACCCCGACATTTTCCCGGACGATCTGCCACCTGGGCTGCCACCCGAGAGACCCGAAGACCATAAAATCCAGCTGGAACCTGGCGCGCAACCTACTGTTCGGACACAGTGGCGGTTGACCCAGCCGGAACTCGAGGAGCTGCGCCGACAAATTGACGCACTGTTGGAGAAAGGGTTTAATCGGCCGAGCACCTCCCCGTTCGCGGCACCGATCCTGTTCACTCCGAAGAAGGACGGCGGGCTTCGCATGTGCATCGATTATCGCGCGTTGAACCGGGTGACCATCAAATCTCGCTACCCAATCCCACGCACCGACGACCTTCTCGATCAACTTCGCGGCGCTCGCTACTTCTCGAAAATCGACTTACGTGGCGGTTACCACCAGATTCGGGTCTTCGCCGACGATTGTCACAAGACCGCGTTTCGCACACGCTACGGGAGTTACGAATTCACGGTGATGCCCTTCGGCCTCACGAACGCGCCTTCGACCTTTCAACTCACCATGAACAGGGTTTTTCGGGATCTTCTAGACCGATGTGTCATCGTCTATTTGGACGATATCCTGATTTTTAGCAAGACACGGGAGCAGCATCTCCGCGACCTGGACGCAGTGTTTAAGCGGTTGCAGGAGAACCGCCTCATCACCAAGGGCTCTAAGTGCGAGTTTTTAAGCAGGATTTGGAGTTTTTGGGGCACGTAATTTCCCGCGACGGCATCAAAATCGACCCGACGAAAATCAAGACCATCCAGGAGTGGAAGGCCCCGACTAATGTCACGGAGCTTCAGAGTTTTCTGGGGTTCGTGAATTATGTTCGGCGGTTTATCCCGAATATGGCAGGGATAACCGGCCCGCTGACCGACCTGCTGCACAAGGACAAGAATTTCGTGTGGGGGGAGGAGGCAGAGGCGGCTTTCCAGGAGCTCAAGAATTTTCTCGTTTCCCCTCCTGTGCTGCGCATCGCCGACCCATCGAAGCCGTTCGAAGTCGTAACCGACGCCTCTGATTTCGCCATCGGAGCAGTGCTTCTCCAGGATTTCGGGAACAGGTTGCAACCAATCGCCTACGAATCACGCTTTCTGCAAGCTGCCGAGCGCAACTACCCGATCCACGACAAGGAGATGCTCACCATAATCTACGCGTTTAAACTGTGGCGCTGCTACCTGGTGGGCGCCGACGTCACTGTGCGCACGGACCACAAGTCCCTACAGTACCTGCGAGCTCAACCGAACCTCAACCCGCGACAAATTCGGTGGCTGGATTACATGGAAAGCCACTTCACCTACCGCATCACGTACAAGAAAGGGGCGAATAACATCGCCGACGCCCTGACCAGACCGACCGTACAATCCGCTGCTGTACTGATAACCCATTCGAACCCACTGCTACACTACAGACCCATTCTTCACAACGGGAAATCATCAGCAGGCCACGACACAGAAGGGGGATTATTACCTAAAGGCCGGAACCGACAGGATTTGGGTCCCCGCTTACCGGCTGCTGCGTGAACTCCTCATCCAGGAGGTCCACGATTCGAACTACTCCGGACACTTCGGGGTTGATAAAACCCAGAAATTACTGCACCGTCAATATTACTGGCCTGACTCTTCTAACGACGTGCAGCGCTATGTGTCCTCATGCAGGGTGTGCCAAGCAATGAAATCGACACGTCAGCGACCAGCTGGGCTGCTGCAACCCCTCGAGCCACCCGAAAGACCGTGGCAACAGGTGACGATGGATTTCGTCACATGGATGCCAGCTGGATCGTCCGGCAACGACGCTGTTCTCGTCGTCGTCGATCGCTTCACGAAAATGGCGCACTTCGCACCGTGCCGAACAACAATCGCAGCTGAAGAAACTGCGCGCCTCTTCATCTCAACGGTCGTGCGACTGCACGGCATCCCTTCGGCGATCATCACCGACCGAGACCCGAAGTTTACGTCCAAATTCTGGAAGGAGACGTGGGCGCAGTACGGCACGAAGCTACAGTTCTCATCGGCATACCACCCACAGACGGACGGACAAACCGAGCGAACCAACCAAACCATGGAACAGCTGATACGGACAAATTGCCCCGACCCCGCACGATAGGAAGATTCCCTCGCCAAGCTGGAGTTCGCCTTCAACAACGCACCGTCAAGCACGACTAATCACTCCCCGTTTTTCCTAAATTACGGGATGGATCCGACGGTCCCCACGGCGACTTCGCTCGACAACCCGGTCCCGAGGTCACAAACTTTTGTGACGGAACTTCAGCACATCCGCGAAAAAGCCGCAGACGCAATTCGCAAGGCGAATATCACTTCCCGCAAGTACACCGACCTTCTACGCCGGGAACTCGTCTTGACTACTGGGCAATTAGTGCTCCTCGACACGAAGAACCTGCACCTGCCCGGTCCATCGAAGCTACGGCCCCGATTTTGCGGACCGTTCAAGATCATCAAGATGGTGACACCTGTCACCGCGAAGCTGTTGCTACCGGACGACTGGCGAATTCATGACGCCTTCCACGTCAGCCTGCTTCGCAAGTTCGTGCCAGCCACGACCGACATCGCACGTCAGCAAGCTGCCCCGACAGCACGACCTGTCCCGGAGCCGACCCTCGAACCTTCGAAGATTCTGGCACATCGAGTTCGACTTGACGCAGCTGGCCGACACGTGGATTTCTTAATCCGCTGGACTGATCGCACCAGTGAGGACGACACGTGGGTGCCATCCGCCTCGCTCGACGCCTCGCCACTTGTTGGTGATTATTTGGCGCGCCGGTGTGTTTCGGATATTGACCGCCTTTCTTAAGGGGGGGGGGTGGTGTAAGGAATTTTCTCGAATTCCTTATCGGGGTTGACTGCTGCGCGTACAACCCGATTTTCGGAGTTCGCACGTTCGGGCGATTTCCACGCTGCCGAGGCTCCTCGCGTCGCCTTCGGCATTCCCATCGCCAAACCTGCACCCAACCTCGCTCGCCCGAGGTTTCCTCCTAGCTAGGCTAGCCCTACATTAGTCTGTGCATTCATTGTATTCTCAGTTCATTCAATCACAGCCTCGTTATTCGTTTACCTGCGCACTCTCTTTTACAACTCATAAAAATGTTATTTTCTGGGTCACTATAAGCATTCTTCGACAAGATTAAAGGGACGCGCATGACAGTTAGGGTCATAGATGATGTGCGTCAGAGATCGCAATGCACTGTAGAAAAAATAGAATCGTACAATACCTACTGGATGAGCTGGATGGGGTAGTCTAGTGGTTGCGCCGAATGCCGTTTGGTCTTGCTGCCGCAACCGCAAGTCGTGCGGGTAAGCAGAGTAGTAGCTGAGTTGACACTCCAGCTCTTTCCGTAGGTCGTGCTGGGTGTAGATAAACAACTTGGCATTCCCCCAGAGGACGCTGTCGTTGGTGCACAGATAACGACACAGATGTCTAGTAGTCTTCTAGGCAGATAAGGATTTCAGGTCGTCTTCAAGTTGAAGAATAAGTGAAGTTATGTATCCAATTGTGAGGCAGAGCTTCGAGTCGCCATGATAGAGCAGACATTCTAGAGCACTGAGGAGAGCCACGTGTTTCGCCCTTCAAATTCTTCCCAATGGAAAATGAGGAGCAATGGAGACCGGAGCAATCAAGAGGGGAGCAATCGCGACGCGAGTTATCGGGAGGGGAGCCATCATCCAGTATTCTTGGGTTGAGAACGTCTGTGCGACGATACCCTCATTTGCTTCTGCCAGACTAGTACTAGCACACTTGAACATCGGAGCTTGGAGTTGTTTTTGGGCCTACTACTAGTAATGCCTGCTCTACGAATCTAGTAACACCAGTTACGCTGCCTCAGCGTAGGCTCCTGCGAGGCGGTGCAGAGCCTGTCACGTCGCGGTGGTGCATCAACTACTATCATGTCACCCGGCGCTGATTCGCGGCAAAGCGGCGGCTTGAGGCGGCGCCACGATGCTGCTGCAGCTGATGCTTTTGAGTCGACTCAAAGGCGGCGCCACAATGCTGCAGAGGCAGCGCTGCCGGAAACGGCAGCTCTGTCAGCGTCGCCGTCAGTTTCGGTTCTAACCTGCTCCGATACTGCTGACGTGTCCGAGAATGCTGCCAGTGGTAGTAGCTTCTACTCGCAAGGCTCCTCTGGAGACCAGCGGCGACGTGGCAACCGACGTGACGTGGAAGCCCTGGTGAAGCATTTCGGAGGTGACGTGGAAGGTCACAGCATTCGGCCTCACAGCATTATTCCGGACCCTGCTGAGTCCCCTAAAGCAACTACCGTTTTAGCAGATCCGCGGCAGCAGCAGCAGCATCATCGCGGCTCCACATCTCCATCGCCGCCAAGTCATGAATTCCAGGCACACGCAAGGCTTCCAAGTCATGACTCGCACATCAGTGATGCAATGCTCGCATCCCTCGACTCAACCACTCTCCAGAAGCTGCTTCAACATCTCGCGAGTATGGGGGCAGCGGCGCGGCCGCGGCGGCCTGGAGGAGAAACACCGTCTGGAACAACCGATCTCTTCAACATGTCGGGTCAACACCACATTACTGCGCATGGGCCAATAGCAGCTAATGCCGGTCCGCTGGCGGCTAATGCCGGCCCGCTGCCGTCTGTGCAACCGCTGGCAAAGGCGCCGCGGAACGCAACGGAGGCCGTTAGATTCAAGAGCGCAGCGGCTCCCAGCGTCAGAGCTGCATCACCGGATCAAATCATATCCGATCCAGCCGGCGGCAGCAGCAGCAGCGGCAGCAGCAGCGGCGGCGGCGGCGGCGGCGGCGGCGGCGGTCTGCGGTTCTACTATTTTTCCTTCCCAAACGGTGTATGTGGCTTCTTTCAAGCGGCAGACGAGCAAGCCAGTTTGGGATCGACCCATGCTGCGGCTTGGCCGGAGCCTAGTACCACCACCATCTGCCCACACCCTGCGCCTCTGACCCATGCGGAGGCTCGGCCCGAGCCTAGTACCACCATGTGCCCAAACCTGGGGTCCGGTAATGTCAATTCTTTTCCTGACAGTCATGCGTTGGCGGATGTGAGATCATCTGATGATGGGTCATCATGGCCAGTGGCGTATGGCGGCCTGTCCGAGCAGGCTGCAGCATGGGTTGGCATGGGGGCCCTCGGAGACACGTGCATTGTGGAAGGGCATGGTGGAGAAATTCAGATCAGCACAACACTGACAGAACCGGTGGTGGCAGAGTCGAGTAGCCATCCTCGCTACGCTCCTCTCGGTCCATCCTACCACGCTCCTCTCGGTGAAATCTGGCACGACCAGACTGCAGCAGCAGAGTTGCCATCGTTTCCTTTTGAGTCGACCCAGAAGCAGTCGAGCCGTCCATCCTACCACGCCCCTCTGGGAGGAATCAGACACGACCAGACCACAGCAGCAGAGTTGTCATCATCGCTTCACGTTGCTGCTGCTACCACTGGAATGGAGATGGTCCCTTCAGGGAGAGGCTGTGGTACTGCCATTGTGGCTTGCGAACCGACCGCTCGAAGGATCGAGATTGACGATGCTGTGAACGGCGATATGACGACGATGCTGGCTCACCAGAACTCTGTTTCCTCCGTCGTCCCCACCGCTCCTAAGCCCGTGGACTTGCAGTTGCACGGTACAAGTGTGGCAACTGATACCTGCCCTCACAGCAGGCTTAATGCGGGTGAACCGGCTGAACCGGCTGAACCGGACCGGGAACCTGCTGGAGTGGATGGTCTTCGCCATGCCAATGTGGCTGTTTCTTCTGTGGGACTTCAGAGCATCACCTCAGGCCTTCTTAGCTCTTGGGAGGCTCAGCAGCTGCTTGCTGCTGCCACCGCTTCTGTTGCTTCTGCAGCCGCTGCTGCTGCTGCTGCTGGGACAAACGAGCCCCGTCATTCTGCAACAATTGACTCTTCTCACTTTCCTGGCTCCCCGCACGCTCCCCACCGTCAACACTACCCAGTACAGACTTCAGAATTTCCTGGCAAGGACTCCCCAAGCGCCAGAGGTGCTGCTGCTGCTGTTGCTGCTACTGCTGCTGCTGCTGCTGCTGCTTTTGCTGCTGCTGATGTGGCTGCTCCTTCAGCTGCTGATGCTGCTGCCGACCGCACCAGTGGTGCTACTGAGTGCGCAAAAGCAGACAGCTTGTTCGTGGGCGGGTGCGACGACTACACCTCCTTGCTCCTCATGGACCCTCTCACCCTCGTTGACTCGCTGCCGTATCCCTTCACTGCCTTTGACCCTCCCACCTTGGCTCCAGGTGCAAACATGCTGACCGGAATCTCCCCAAGAGGGAATTTGCCGAGAGGGATTTTCTCGACGGCTTTTGAGACGTTGCAAAGCTCCCCAAGAGGGAACCTGCCGAGAGGGGGTTTCTCGACGGCTGCGCAAGCAGCGGCTTGCGGCGAATTGGCGTCAATGGAAGGGCAGAACGGAGGTGCTGAGGAGGGAGAGGGGCTGCTGCACAGAAGCCAGGACTTCATGGCTCAGGAGGAGCTGTTTCAGGCGTTGCTGCTGGAGGAAGGACCCGAGATGGCTGCAAAGAGGTTGTTGAGTGTTGCTTGTGGTGCGGAGATGCGTGCAGAGCAGCCGGGCGAATCATCTGAGTATTCACCTGCTGGTCCAGCCATGGAACCACCTGGAGATCCATCTGGAGATCCAACGGTCCACAGCAGCCGGGCGTTCCTTGAAACCACAAGCGCACCAGGTGGGGAAACATCCGTGACGCCACAAAACGCCGGCGATTCTTGTGGAACAGGGGTTGCGCTAGGTGTGGGTGGGAATGACGTGGTTTTGAAGACGGCCGTGATGGGTGCTGCTGTTGTGCCAGAGGAAGAGAAGCAGGAGGGAGGCAAGCAGCAGAAGAAGAGGAAGAAGGCTCAGGTGGTTTCCTCAATGCAGGGCGGGCAGCAGGATGCTGCTGCTGCTGTGAAGGTGGCGTTTCTTAAAACCACGAGCACCCGAGTCGCTGAAGCGTGCGGAATGCCAAGAAACACTGAGGATTCTAGTGATGCGGGGGTTGCACTTGCTGTGGGCGCGAGTGAGGCAGCTTCAGAGATGGCCGTGGTAGGTGCTGCTGGGAATTCAGAGAAAAGGGCGGAGGGAGTCATGCAGCAGAAGAAGAGGAAGAAGACACATAACAAGGCTGAGCAGGTGCCGTCAATGCAGGGTGGGCAGCAGAATGATGCTGCTGCTGCTGCTGCTGCTGGTATGAAGGTGGCGTTTCGTGAAACCAAAAACACCACACTTGCTGAAGCATGCGGGATGCAAAGAAACACTGGTGATTCTGGTGATACTGGGTTTCTGCCCTCTGTGGGTGGGAGTGAGGCGGTTTTGAAGACGGTCCTGGCAAATGCTGCTGTGGCTTCAGAGGGGAGCGAGGAGGGAAGCAAGCAGCAGAAGAAGAGGAAGAAGGCCCAGAAGAAGGATGAGCTGGTTTCATCAATGGAGGGCGGGCAGTTGGACGGAGTTCCTCTAGAGGCGGCTCTACAAGCCAAGAAAGCAAAGAAGCAGAAAGTTCCACAGGGATCCAAGACATCTCGTCAAGGCAACGGTCAGCCTCAACCTTCCAGTGCCGCGAGTGCTGCTCCAGAACCGGCACCAGCATGTTTAGACTCGGCTGTTAGTTCCAGTGCAGGTTTGGCTAGCTCCTCAACCCCTTCTCCTGAGGCTGCTGCTGAGGCGGCTGCTGCAAAGCTGGAAGGAGCCAGACCTAAACCGAAGATCCAAAGACGAGCAGAAGAGAGTTCGTCTGGTGAAGTGAGGTACATCGGAGTTAGAAAGAGAGGATTGGGCAATTGATGGGTGGCAGAGATAAAGGACAACATCCATGGCGTGCGGAGGTGGCTTGGGACGTTTGGCACACCTGAAGAGGCAGCCCGGGAGTATGATAAGGCAGCAAGAGAAATCAGAGGTCAAAACACCCGCCGCACCAACTTCCCCTTACACAAGTAGGCAGCCTGCCATCGATTAATTGAAGGGTTTGTCCGAATCTGTTTGTTTAACACAAATGGCATTGCATTGATCATTCAGAGCTTCGCAGTTGTGTCAAGTGATTTGACATGACGACGACAATATACATCTTATTCATATTCAAGTGTATTTTAGCTCATTCAAGTGTGTTTGCTCGTGTGTATGCCCAAATGAAGCAACCTTAATGCTATTGAAATTCACAATCTTTTAGGCTTATCAGTGATTTTACTCACAACTGTAGCCCGTTTCTACCTTTTTATAACAAACCAAAACGCGTTCATACAAGCTCGTCATTCCACTCATGTTTTTCGGCCCTGCACGTGCCAAGGGAATGTCAGGTGCCTGTAAGGGGGGAATTTCTTTTTGCTTGGGAGCCCGTCTGGACTGGAGTCTTCCACGCTGGCACGCAGATTCTTGGCTTCCCGCTCCCAGATTTGTGATACACACACTACACTGCCCTGCTGAACTGTACAGTTCGAGTGCCAGACAGCTCCATCCATCCAGCGCCCATCTCACCTGACCAATTTCAGATCGGCCAACTTCATTGATACTCAAATTATGCCTGACGCGGTTTGCAAGCGTACTCAACTTCGATTTCTCATCGCTGATTGGTTCTCGCTTTTCAATCACACTTTTCAGGCTAAAACACCTCCGAAATGTGATAGAAACATAACGCGATAACCGAACTTAATTAGACAATATTGTGTGGAGGGGCTACCTTACAATAGACAAAAAAGTATTAAATACTCAACCCTTTACAAATACAATTTGTATAGATAAAAAAACCCTTGGAAAATAATGCGGACTAGGAATAACTTCATGGAATAGGGTGGACGACATCATGCAACAAGGATTAAAGGGTTGATGCCATCCTTACTGGATGCTTTCAGTAGGAAGGCTGTTTTTTAATGCCTTTCGGGTAGCAAGCTCCGCTGGGCGGTGTTGTTTGTTGTAGCATAAAAACCTAAACACTATACAACATCCCGTATTTACGGTTAACATTACCAGATTATTTCTTGGTTATCCAATCGTTTTGGTATGTTCCCTTTTAGGCTGGGTATGTGCGGACCTGCTGGTGGTGACTTTGTTTCAGTATTGTGCTTATATTTGTGTCGTTAAGTATTTGTACTAACTATACTGAGAAATTGTTGGTTGAGTACGCTTGCAAACCGCGTCAGGCATAATTTGAGTATCAATGAAGTTGGCCGATTTCAATGAGCAGAGTGTGAGAAACCAAATTCTTCACTAAGTTGTCTCGTCTCGTCCATTCTGAGGATTTGGATTGATAGCCATCGCTGCCATGGCTTCGGCGGTAGCTCTTTCGGCCACCTCGTCACAGTGCCTAACGTGCTCCTCGTGGGCTCGGAGCAACGTCAAAGTGAGCGGTCCAGGCACGAGGTTCTTGTCAGGGCGGCAGCTGTCGCGGCCTCTGGCTAGGAAATGCGAAGTGGTCGCGAGAAGAAGCCTTAGGCATGTCGTTGCGGAGAAAGGATCTACGAGCGATTGTAAGCTCTCGCGTGAATTTGGATTTCTGCCCCCTAAATTTTTATCCAGAACATAAAAATAAGAATAATTTGAGAATGTTGTGTCTATGTTTTTCCTGGGCGTTTCCTGGATTCAGTGGTCAGCACGGCAGTGAAGATAGGCAACGATGGACTCGACGCAGCGACGAAACTCGTTCCTGTAAGCCTTCGAACAGATTAACATACTAACGAATTATAAATGTTCAAACGCCAAATTTTCGCCTTTGTAATTCGCATCCCTGTCGCCATCCTCTCCCCGACCTATTACATGCAGGCCAGTATCCCGCGGCCAGTAGCTAAAGGCGGCGTCGCGCTTCTTTCGCTCGCCATCCTCTTGTCCCTCGTTCAGACCATCTTCAACACTTTCGTCAGCCTCCTTGTAAGAGCTCATCCCCACCTCTCGTTCTTTTTTTCTCTCTCTCACAATCACATATCTGGTATGTCCCGAAGTTGTTTCCCTTGGTTAGTTCCGTTTTGTGCAATGGACAGGAAGAAGGAGAGGGGGGAGTGCATGTATAAGGGAAGAAAGGCTAGAGAAGCGAGGAATATGGATCTGGATTCGTTCTTATACCGTTATTCTTGTGGATGTGCATGATTGTGCAGTTCCTCGGAGGCCTAGGATACTTGGCGTTCCAGTACCTATCCAAGGATGGCAAGAATTCGTCTGGGAGTTCAGGTGATGACCCTCTTGACGAGGCTCGCCGCATTCTGGATAAGTACAAGTGAACCGTATATTAGTATTTCCACCAACCTGTGACAGGACCTGTTTTATTTGTGAATATGTATGCACTATGTTTATTGTATCTTTTTGCAGAATGTGCATCGCCTTCTGTACTTTAATGCTAGCATTGCCTGTGTATTCCTGCAAAAGTGCCGCAGAAATAGCGAAGACGCTTTAACCGAGAGTTTAGGGCGTGTTAAATCGGAAACTCCAAAAATTCGGCCACAATCCGTCGGGCCGTTTTTGCGAAGGTAACCAGTTCGCGAAAATCGTAAGTCAAGTGGCGACCACCGCGAATTTCGCAAAAATTATACGAATCCTTTGCCGTTTAAAAGGTCGACACGAAAACGACGCCGAGTCGACTCCAAAACGGCCGAGTAGTCGACACAGTGTGCGACAAACGCCTGTGACGTCGTATAATTTCGCCCAGCGACAGAATTTGTGTATCGCGTCAAATGAGAAATATCGCCGTCAAAAGTGCGACAACGTCGTACATACTATACTACTGTAGCAACTGCAATTTTAACAACTTTTCCGAACCGGCCTGCAAAATTGTAATTTTTGGCTGTAAAGGAGTCGACTCTGATTCGGCCACCTCGTCGTTGTTCGCGAAAAATATGACGACCATTTGGTCGTCGAAATTTCGGCCACACCCCATTTTCGGAATTGTGTGGCGATTTAACACGCCCTTACATCATATTGTTTCTAGAAACTATCGTTGCCGCGCCTTTCCCTTCGCAAGCCTCGGAATTGCCGCCAATTCGCATTTTCTGGAATCTGCCAGCAATCAAGAATCATCTAGATTCCGCACCACACGGCGTCCATACGACGTACTTTCGTGTGTCGCTCCGCGCTTTAGAAACCTCTGTTAGTCTCATTAGCTACTCACAGCATCACTGACACTCTTAGCAGCATTCAGAACGTTTTATTTGCGCTACTTACTCTGGTATCTCTCATCAGAGCCTTATTGTCGGAATCTTGAGGCGTCACTGCGATCTGTTAGCTCCAGTCCGCAGCCATGGATGCGCAGAAGATAGCAGAGCTCAAGGCCTTCGTGCAGCTCTGCCAGAAAACTCCCGCCATTCTCGCCGACCCGAAGCTCGAGTTCTTCCGTGATTATCTCGAAAGGTACACATCGTGTAAAAACATCGTTATTCATCCTCGCGTCAATTGGTTCGTAACGGCATCAGAAGTGGTTGATCTGAGCTATGAAGGCGAGGGAGGTTTTAGCTGGCAAGAGATTCAGCGATCCGTTTTGGAGAAAGGAAAGGCCCACCATGCGTTCAATCAAGGGATGTAGGATCAATCGGGGGGTACGATGATCCGGCGCTGGTGTTTATTCGGAAATGAATTTGGTCTTACCAGATTCGGGTACGGCGAGTTTGGAGCCGGTTTTGTTCAGTACGCCGGATGTTATTGATATTGATGTCATTTCTTCGGTAGCTATTTCGGGTCTAACCCGTCTATTGCGCTCTTTCGTCTCGCCGCGAAGTCTCGTTTTCTTTCCAACAACTTTTCCGTCACACATGCCTAACGCCTTTTTCTTCACCCAACCCGTCCTCCCTTCGTCCCTCTCCCGCATCCTTCTTGGGTCTCTCCGTCTTTTCCCATTATCCTGCCGTCTCCCCTCGTCTCACTCGTCCATCGTTCATCTTCCCCCATCTCTCTCCCCTCATCCCACTCGTCTCTCGGCCAGTCTGAATGCGGAGGTGCCAGGGGAGGCGTACGGCTTGAAGACGGGCGCCGCACCCAAGGTACGCATGGCGCCGCACCCAAGGTACGCATGGCGCCGCACCCAAGGTACGCATGGCGGCGTTTTATTTCTGAGACGAGTCAAGAAAGGGGGAGACGATTGGCAGGGTACATCAGCGCAGCCCTCGCTATACCAAAACTAGCAAGCGTTTCTCGGCTGGGATACCATCGCAGTTGCCATCGTCGTTCGCACTCCCAGCTGTATATCACACTTGAAAAAAACGTAATCCCATTAGATTTTCCACCCCCTCTTGTGACAGGCGGAGGAGAAGGCGGAGGAACCAAGCACGATGGAGTCCGAGGCGAGCAAGGTGGAGGAGCCAGAGGAGGAAGAAGAGGAAGACGAGCCAGAAATCATCGAATCCGACGTGGAGATAGACGAGGAGGGCGTGGTGGAGGGGGACGACGACACCCCGCAGCAGATGGCTGTCATACACACTTTCTTTATTTCCTTCCCTCTTCATTTCTTTTGCTGTTTTTTTTCGGGGGCAGGCAGAGAAGGTGGAAGAACCAAGCACGATGGAATCCGAAGCGAGCAAGGTAGAGGAACCAGAGGAGGAGGAAGAGGAGGAGGAGGAGCCTGAGATCGTGGAATCTGACGTGGAGATAGACGAGGAGGGCGTGGTGGAGGGGGACGACGACCCCCCGCAGCAGATGGGCGATGCCAGCAAGGAAGTGGGCGAGGAGCAGCGGGACGCCGCTCAGGCTGCCAAGGCTAAAGCCATAGAAGCCCTGGCTGAAGGTGCGTGGGTGGTGCTGTGTGTGCTGGGCGTGCTGTGTGTGCTGGGCGTGCTGTGTGTGCTGGGCGTGCTGTGTGTGCTGGGCGTGCTGTGTGTGCTGGGCGTGCTGATACAATGAGCGTGAGTGAGCTGCTCAGGCCGCCAAGGCCGGTGTTGAGTGGGCTTGCTTAGTGTGCGTATGTGCGTGAGCTGCGCATGCTTCCAAGGCCCAGGGCATGGAGGCACTGATTGGAGGTGCGTGGGTGGCAGCAGATGGGCGATGCCAGCAAGGAGGTGGGCGAGGAGCAGAGAGACGCCGCTCAGGCCGCCAAGGCCAAAGCCATGGAGGCTCTTGCTGAAGGTGCGTGGGTGGTGCCGTGTGTGCCGTGTGTGCCGTGTGTGCCGTGTGTGCGTGCCGTGTGTGCGTGCGTATGCTATCATGAGTATCCCGTCTGCCCTTCCTCACCAATTCCTTCTTCCCCGCTTCACCCTTCCTCGTTTGCTCACCCACTGTTCTTATGACGCAAGCTAGAGGCAGCTGTGGCGATTTTGCTTTCCCCACCAATTCCGTCCTCCCCACTTCACCCTCGCTAATTCACCCTCCTCCGTTCATCCACCCCCATTCCCATTCATGCCCCACGATGCCCATCAGACAACGTAGAGGCGGCAGTGGCGCATCTTACAGTGGCCATTCTCAACAACTCCACGAATTCCGTCGTCCCCTTTCCGCCCTCCCTTTCTTCACTGTGCACTCTCTGTGTCCATCAGACAACCTAGAGGCGGCAGTGGCGCATCTGACAGAGGCCATTCTCAACAACCCCACCTCCGCACTGCTCTATGGCAACCGAGGTGAGGTGCATGCTAATGTCAGTATTATTCAAGCTGAGGGGTGTGGCAAGCGGGTGAGATCTGCTGTGTCCTTTCCTCGCCATCAAATGAAAGATCTCTTTCATTCAATGGTTTTTCCAGTGTTACCTTTCGTCCCCTCTTCGTCCCCGTCTGCCGCCCCTCACCCCTCTTTGGCCCCGTCTGCCGCCCCTCTCCCCTCTTCGGCCCCTTCTGCCGTCCCTCCCCTCTTCGGCCCCTTCTGCTGCCCATTTCGGCCCCGTTCGCCTTCTTTCAATGCTTCTGTGGTGTGCACTCGCAAGAGCCCCTCTCGTTTCCACCATCCCCTTCCACCCATTTCCACCCCCTTGTACCACTTGTCGTGCACAGCTGGAGTATTTGTGCGCATGAAGAAACCCAACGCTGCCATTCGCGACTGTGACGAGGCTCTCAAGGTGAGTGAGAAACAGAGAGAGTGAGTGGGGAGTGAGTGAGTGAGTGAGTGAGTGAGTGAGTGAGTGTGGAGCCTTTTTGCACGTGCTCACTTTGTGCTTTCTTTGAGTTAAGTGAAGGTTAAGGCACAACGCCTGGAGGAGCACCGGCGGCTGTCTCTCCCCACTCCTCCCAGCTCGACCCCGATTCCGCCCGCGCCTACAAGTCCCGAGGAGAGGCGAAGGCCCTGTTGAGCCAATGGGAAACGAGTTCACTTCTTCCCCTAGCCTCTCGCCTGGATTACGACGAGGAAGTGAACTCGTTCCTGAAGCTTGTGGAGCCCAGGGCACACCGCCTGGAGGAGCACCGGCGCACCGATCTCTCTCGAATCCCCTCAGAGATACCCTCCCATTTCGCGTCTTCCCTGCTCTCATTTGTCCCACCCAGCTGAACCCTGACTCCGCCCGCGCCTACAAGTCCCGAGGAGAAGCGAAAGCCCTTCTTGGCCAATGGGAGGCAGAAGCTGCTGATTTACGCCTAGCCTCTCGCCTGGACTACGACGAGGAGGTGAACTCGTTTCTGAAGCGGGTGGAGCCCAAGGCACACCGCCTGAGGAGCACCGGCGCAAGTACGAGCGGCTGCGCAAGGAGCGGGAGGAGCGCGTGGCGGCCAAGGAGAGGCAGAATTTACTCTCATAATTTCCCTCTTTCCCCCCTTCTTCCAGCTGAACCCTGACTCAGCTCGCGCCTACAAATCCCGGGGCGAAGCCAAAGCCCTTCTTGGCCAATGGGAGGCAGCAGCGGCGGATTTACGCCTGGCCTCTCGCCTGGATTACGATGAGGAAGTCAATTCCTTCTTAAAGCTGGTGGAGCCCAGGGCACACCGCCTGGAGGAGCACCGGTGCAAGTACGAGCGGCTGCGCAAGGAGCGCGAGGAGCGCGTGGCGGCCCCTTGAAAATACTCTCCCCTTTCGCGTCTTCCCTCTTCTCCTGTTTCCGCCTCAGCTGAACCCTGACTCGGCTCGCGCCTACAAATCCCGAGGAGAAGCGAAAGCCCTTCTTGGCCAATGGGAGGCAGCAGCGGCGGACCTGCGTCTGGCCTCTCGCCTTGACTACGACGAAGAAGTCAATTCCTTCTTAAAGCTGGTGGAGCCCAGGGCACACCGCCTGGAGGAGCACCGGCGCAAGTACGAGCGGCTGCGCAAGGAGCGCGAGGAGCGCGTGGCGGCCAAGGAGAGGCAGCGGCGGAGGAAGGCGGCCCAGAAGGCGTATGAGGAGGAGAAAAAGAGAGAGGAGGAGAGGAAGAATGCGGCTAGAGGGGCTGGGGGTGGCGGGGGTTTCCCTGGGGGTTTCCCAGCGGGAATGGGGGGTATGCCGGGGGGTTTCCCAGGGGGCATGCCGGCAGGGATGGGGGGCATGGGGGGGATGGGGGGGATGCCTGGGATGGGCGGCGGTGCGGGCGGCATGCCGGACATGAGTCAGATGCTCAATGTGAGTCTGAATGCTGAATGTGAATCATCCTGATTGGGGGACTACATTGTACTGTTAAAACTGCACACATGTGCATACATGTGCCTGCTCCTTGTGCTGACCTGTCAATTCCTGTTGACTTGTGTTGACCTGTTGACTCCTGTTGACCTGCCACGTGTGCATGCAGGACCCTGAACTGCTCATGGCGCTTCAGAACCCTGCAGTCATGGCCGCCATGCAGGATGGTAGGTGGAAAGTGGTGGTGAGGGGTGATGAGGGGCAACGGCGGGTGATGAGGGGTGCTGATGGTTGATGATGGGTGATGATGGGTTGATGGCGGGTTAGGCTGTATCATGATGGTTTGTTTCTGTGTTGATGATGAGTTATGATGTATAATGATCGGGTTATGGTTGATGATGATGTTTATTGATAGCTTGATGGAGGTATATCTGGAGCTCGCTCACTCATCCCCACTCCCTTCCCTCCCCTCCCTCCCCTCCCTCCCCTCCCTCCCCTCCCTCCCCTCCCTCCCCTCGCTTCCCCCTGTCAACTCCTCCCTTCCTCCTTCCCCACCGTGCAGTCATGAAGAACCCAGCCAATCTGCTCAAGTATCAGAACGACCCAACAGTGGGCCCTGTGCTCATGAAGCTCATGTCTACTCCTTTCCCCCCCTGCGCACTCAACTCACTCCTTCCCAATCTCCCCACCGTGCAGTCATGAAGAACCCGGCCAATCTGCTCAAGTATCATAACGACCCCACAGTGGGCCCTGTGCTTATGAGTCATGAGGCTCACTCATCCTCCCCATTCCCTCCCTCCCCTCAACCCCTCCCACACACCAGTCATGAAGAACCCGGCCAATCTGCTCAAGTATCAAAATGACCCCAAGGCCCAGTGCTCATGAGTCATGGGGCTCACTCATCCTCCCCATTCCCTCCCTCCCCTCAACCCCTCCCACACACCAGTCATGAAGAACCCAGCTAATCTGCTCAAGTATCAGAACGACCCCACAGTGGGCCCTGTGCTCATGAGTCACTTGTCAACTTCTTTCCCCCCTGCGCACTAAACTCCCTCCTTCCCAATCCCCCCACTGTGCAGTCATGAAGAACCCAGCCAATCTCCTCAAGTATCAGAACGACCCCACTGTGGGCCCTGTGCTCATGAATCTCTTTTCAACTCCTTTCCCCCCCCTGCGCACTCCACTCCCGCCTTCCCAATCCCCCCACCGTGCAGTCATGAAGAACCCAGCCAATCTGCTCAAGTATCAGAACGACCCCACAGTGGGCCCTGTGCTCATGAAGCTCATGTCCAAGTTCGGTGGTGGTGCCGGTGGTGCTGGCGGGATGTAGGGTCGTGTCTTGAAGCTCCTGTAGTGTGGTGCTCTTGATTCATGAAGCTCATGTTTGATGGCGCTTGCAGCGACGTGTGTCATGAAGCTTATGAATGAAGCTCATGTCTAGGTTCATTGGTTCTGCTGGTGGCGCTGGTGCTGCTGCCATGTAGGTCCATGTTATGTGCTGCTGAGGTCACATGGTTTCGATGGGTGTATGCTACTTAGGTTGCAGTTGTAATGCCATAGGCAGTGAGAGATTTGTGTCTACTGCCTAACTCAAAAGCATACAGTACTACATAGAAAATGAGAAGACTGTGAACAGTGTGATAGTTGATTAGACACTTGTCATTGTCAAACCTACTTGAGAGGGTCATACATGTTATTGCATAAAGTTCTTATGTTGAACTGGTAACAGTCTCCTATTTGTGGTGTTTTCAGAAGGTCAAACTTTTACCATATATACATTAACGGGGAATGTGCAAGTGTATGGGACAGGTACCGTAGTGTGCTGAAGGGGTGAAGCACTAGTAAAATTTATTCAATGTACAGTCTAATCAGTATAGCGCAACACAAAATACTCTGCCGCAAGGGAGAGCGGCAGGGAAGCGTACAGGAGGGGTGTCAAACGGAGAATCAGTCTCAGCCGCAAGAAGGGGAGCAGCAAGGGTGTCGAGAAAGGAACCGGCCCCAAGAGCGTAGAAGCATGCAACTTGAAGAGCCGATCAGTGGGTTGCAAGAGCAACAGGCGCGGGTTCAGCAGGGGGTCGCTAGCCCGGGCGGCGCAGGCCAAGCGAAAAGGTCGCGAGCTCGGGGCCGAAGAGGGAGACGACACGCAGCCAAGTTGCAAGGAGCATCCCAGGGCGAGCAGCAGCCAGGGGGTCAGCAGGGGTCGACAAGGGCGCCTCAGGGGGTGCTGCAGGCCGGGGAGGTGCCGGAGGCGACAGAGGCAACCCAGGGAGGGTGGCAGACCGGTGGTCGGGCGGAGAGGACTAGGGCACCCCGGGGAGTGCAGCAGCCAGGGGGGCAGCCGGGGGTGACAGGGGGACCCCATAGAGCGCCCGGAGCACCCCAGGGAGCGCAGCAGGCAGGAGGGGAGCCGAGGGTGCCCGGGGCACCCCAGGGAGTGCAGCAGGCAGGAGGGGAGCCGAGGGTGCCCGGGGCACCCCAGGGAGTGCAGCAGGCAGGAGGGGAGCCGAGGGTGCCCGGGGCACCCCAGGGAGTGCAGCAGGCAGGAGGGGAGCCGAGGGTGCCCGGGGCACCCCAGGGAGTGCAGCAGGCAGGAGGGGAGCCGAGGGTGCCCGGGGCACCCCAGGGAGTGCAGCAGGCAGGAGGGGAGCCGAGGGTGCCCGGGGCACCCCAGGGAGTGCAGCAGGCAGGAGGGGAGCCGAGGGTGCCCGGGGCACCCCAGGGAGCGCAGCAGGCAGGAGGGGAGCCGAGGGTGCCCGGGGCACCCCAGGGAGTGCAGCAGGCAGGAGGGGAGCCGAGGGTGCCCGGGGCACCCCAGGGAGTGCAGCAGGCAGGAGGGGAGCCGAGGGTGCCCGGGGCACCCCAGGGAGTGCAGCAGGCAGGAGGGGAGTTGAGGGTGCCCGGGGCACCCCAGGGAGTGCAGCAGGCAGGAGGGGAGCCGAGGGTGCCCGGGGCACCCCAGGGAGCGCAGCAGGCAGGAGGGGAGCCGAGGGTGCCCGGGGCACCCCAGGGAGTGCAGCAGGCAGGAGGGGAGCCGAGGGTGCCCGGGGCACCCCAGGGAGTGCAGCAGGCAGGAGGGGAGCCGAGGGTGCCCGGGGCACCCCAGGGAGTGCAGCAGGCAGGAGGGGAGCCGAGGGTGCCCGGGGCACCCCAGGGAGTGCAGCAGGCAGGAGGGGAGCCGAGGGTGCCCGGGGCACCCCAGGGAGTGCAGCAGGCAGGAGGGGAGCCGAGGGTGCCCGGGGCACCCCAGGGAGTGCAGCAGGCAGGAGGGGAGCCGAGGGTGCCCGGGGCACCCCAGGGAGTGCAGCAGGCAGGAGGGGAGCCGAGGGTGCCCGGGGCACCCCAGGGAGTGCAGCAGGCAGGAGGGGAGTTGAGGGTGCCCGGGGCACCCCAGGGAGTGCAGCAGGCAGGAGGGGAGCCGAGGGTGCCCGGGGCACCCCAGGGAGTGCAGCAGGCAGGAGGGGAGCCGAGGGTGCCCGGGGCACCCCAGGGAGTGCAGCAGGCAGGAGGGGAGCCGAGGGTGCCCGGGGCACCCCAGGGAGTGCAGCAGGCAGGAGGGGAGCCGAGGGTGCCCGGGGCACCCCAGGGAGTGCAGCAGGCAGGAGGGGAGCCGAGGGTGCCCGGGGCACCCCAGGGAGTGCAGCAGGCAGGAGGGGAGCCGAGGGTGCCCGGGGCACCCCAGGGAGTGCAGCAGGCAGGAGGGGAGCCGAGGGTGCCCGGGGCACCCCAGGGAGTGCAGCAGGCAGGAGGGGAGCCGAGGGTGCCCGGGGCACCCCAGGGAGTGCAGCAGGCAGGAGGGGAGCCGAGGGTGCCCGGGGCACCCCAGGGAGTGCAGCAGGCAGGAGGGGAGCCGAGGGTGCCCGGGGCACCCCAGGGAGTGCAGCAGGCAGGAGGGGAGCCGAGGGTGCCCGGGGCACCCCAGGGAGTGCAGCAGGCAGGAGGGGAGCCGAGGGTGCCCGGGGCACCCCAGGGAGTGCAGCAGGCAGGAGGGGAGCCGAGGGCGCCCGGGGCACCCCAGGGAGAGCAGCAGACAGGGGGGCAGCCGGGGGTGCCCGGGGCACCCCAGGGTACGCAGCAGGCAGGGGGGGGATCGATGGACGACCGGGAACAGCAGTTGGAGGAGTGGTGCCGACTTTTGGAGTTTGATACCCCCATGGCGACTGCGGAGGAGTCAGAGGCGGACGGAGAACCACCCAGTCCGCCTTCCCCATGCCCCCGTTTCCCGTGTGACACGTGTTTCCACACGTTCGCCACGAGAGGGGCCGCTGCGAACCACATGAGGGTATGCCGGGCGGCTGAGGCGGAGAGACGCGCGCAGGCACTTGGCTCGATCCCGTCTCTGGTGGAGACCGACACACAGGAGCGACCGACGCCGCGGGAATTTGGGGACGAGGCGTGGGCAGGGGTTAAGTCATGGGAGTGGGAGGCATTTTTCTGTGTGGAGGCGGTTGGAGGGAGGACAGTGCGCCGGATCCCGCAGCGGGCCCGGTCCGGGGTCTTAGACGCACTCTGTTGCATCTTGAAGCGGCTGAAGAGCCGACCGGGAGATGAAGCTGCTACCCTCCTACTCCTGGCGTTTCCGCGCCTCATCCTAGCCGTGCCTCCCAAGCCAGGCATAGGTCAGAAGGCGCTGATCATAGAGCGGCTGGGGGCCTTCTGGGAGGGGAGGTGGCGGGAGTTGTTCGACGCTGCCATGGCGGCGGCACGGCCAGCAGTTCGCCCACTTGCCTACACGTGCTCTGACCAGGACCCGGAGGCCATCCGCCTGTCACGGTGCCGATCTCGGTGTAAAGTGGGAGAGTGGAGCCGTGGTTTGTCTTGCCTCACAGCAGGAGAGTTGGCTCGACCGTCTGAGGCTATGGTGCAGTCGCTGCGAGGGAAGCACCCAGCTAGCAGTGGCGAGGTACCACCGTGGGTTCGTGAGTTTACTGTCGACGCTCCTCAGCGGCCTCCACTCACGACCGACATTCTGGCTAGAGCTATCCACACAGCTGCTCGCGCCTCAGCTGCAGGGCCATCGGGATGGGTCACAGAGCATCTGCGCGACACTTTCCTCACGGAACCTTCCTGCCTCTCCCACCTGCTGGAAGTGTTCAACCAATGGGTGGCGGGACAGGTCCCCGAGCGAGCTCGGCCCTGGCTCGCCGCATCCAACCTAGTCGGGCTTTCCAAACCCAACGGTGACGTCCGGCCGGTGGCGATCGGGGAGGTGCTTCCGCGTATCCTCGCTCGAGCTCTCTGCATCTCGCTTCGCCCTGTGATGGCTTCTTATTTTCTGCCGTGTAACCAGCTGGGAGTGGGCACCAGGGCCGGGGTGGAGATTCTTACTCATTCTTTCCGGTCAGCGCTGGCCACTCACCCCGACTGGTGTGCGCTGCAGATAGATGTCGCGAACGCCTTCAATTCGTTTCATCGCCACGCGATGTTCGAGGGGCTGAAGGAGTCGCCTTTCTCAGGAATGATCCCATTCTTGCGTGTCTTCTATGGGACACCTAGCGACCTGTACCTCCGAGCGGGCCCTTTCGTACAGAGTCTTGAGTCGGCACGAGGATCGCGACAGGGGGACCCGCTCGGCCCTTTTCTTTTCGCTTTCACGCAGCAGCAGGTGCTGGGGACGGTGACTAGAGAGTTCAGGGACCTACTTTTCTTGAGCTATGCAGACGATACCTACATCCTGGGACCAGCGGCTAGGATTCTGGAGGCTTTTGGGGTGCTGCGAGAGAGGTTGGAGTGGGTGGGGCTGGAAGTGCAGGCGCACAAGTGCAGGTTTTGGGAGCGTGGAGGTGGGGATATGGAGCGGGCATTGCCTTTGGGGATGCAGCGGGAGGAGGAGGGTCTTATTGTGGTGGGCGTGCCTATTGGGGAGGAGGATTGGGAGGGGGCCCGATTACGGAAGCGGCTTCGCGAGTTGCAGGCGCCATTGCCGTGGCTCCCCCTGCTCGACCACCCCCAGATGGCCTCGCATCTCCTCGCTATTGCAGTTTCAGCACGGCCGATGTACCTGGCCCGGACTATGCCGCCGCGGCCGGAGGTGGTGGAGGCCTTTAGAGAGTGGGACAGCTGTCTGGAGGATTGCTTTGAGCAGCTTTTCCCCCCTGGCACTTGGGAGCAGGATCCCGGCAGGTCTAGGCGCGCACGCATGCAGCTGCATCTCCCTGTGCGCCTCGGAGGGTTTGGGATCCGGGCGGCGGCCTCTTTGAGTCCGCTCTCCTATGTTTGTGGGTGGGCGCAGGCCGCACGGGATATTGCACATTTGGGGGTGGCGGGCGAGGAGGCGATGTTCGCAGAGTACCTCACCACTTCGGCGGGGGCGGAGCTTCTTGACCCGTG